GGAACCGCTGTGACCCTCTGTAGCATTGTCTTTGCTCCTTTATTTCCAAGCTCTTGGTCACGGTCTTGGTTTTGGCCAGCTTGCCATCTGAGGCTGGAGTGCGCTGGCTTTTGCCAGTGTGAGTGGCAAGCTAATGAGAGGTGATTGGAGTACTGCCTTGCTAAACGTGAGAGCTTTCCCTCACGTAAGAGGTACTAAGTTTTCCCAGGTCTGGCTTTCCTCCTCTTACAGGAGTGGTTGCCGCCTGTGGACTGTCGGAGTGTTGCTGAGGGATCTTCTCTCTGCTTTTGTTCTTGTAGACGAGCGAGAGCGAGGTCCGCTTTGATGTGGAAACGGCAATCAAGGTGCTTCGTCAAGCGGGTTACTACTCCCACGCTGTGTACCTGGCAGAGAAGCACGCGCATCACGAGTGGTACCTCAAAATCCAGCTAGAGGACATCAAGGTGGGGAGGTGTTGGCGCTCCCGTGTTCTTACTGGGGAGAAGACCGCTTCTCCGGCCTCCTCTTTAGGGAGAGTACCATTTCACTGACCTCCTCCCCGGGGGCCAGCGTGCTGGCGGGACCGCTAAGGCAGCAGTAACGACCGCCGTGCTGCCGCTTGCACGTCGGCTTTCTGCTTTTGGCTCGTGCGGTGGAGCGGGGGTGGAAATCGGAGTGTCCGCCTTCGTTCTGTTTTGGATGCGGCTCTTTACAGTGCCATTTAGGAGGAGGGAGGGTCGGGAGTGAGAGGTGCATCCACCTCGCCTTCTGTTTCCCCTGGGCCACGGCCAGTCTTCCTCCGTGAGGAGGAAAGCGAGCGGGAATAGCGAACTAGGTGGTACATCAGAGCGAACGGTGTTTGTGGCGTACTCGCAGCACGTCCTCAGTGCTTTCTGTCCTAGCCTCGAAGAAGAGGCCGATGTCGTGGGATTATTTTGCCTGCTGCCTCCACAGAACTACCAAGAGGCTTTGCGATACATCGGAAAACTGCCTTTTGATCAGGCAGAGAGTAACATGAAGCGATATGGTAAAATCCTGATGCACCACGTCCCCAACGAGACCACGGAATTGCTGAAGATCCTTTGCACTGACTACCGGCCAGCGGGAGACAGTGAAGGCACTGGGATGCTGGAAGGAAAAAAGGTATGGTTTGCGTTGACTGAGAGCGATTGCTCTCGAGTGGTAAGTTTGCAGCGAGCGACTGCCGCTGCGCACCTTGGGGTGCTGGCCTCTTGTTTTAGTTATGATGGGAAGCCCCGTCTTGTACTAGTAGTCCCAGAGACGCGAGACCGCCTAAAGCTGCCGCACGGAGCCCGTTCCTGCCGTCGTCGGCGTCTCGTACTGTGCTGTATCTGTCGCGTCGTAGACGCCGGGAACGAGCGCTCCGCACGGCAGGGAAGAAGCACCGGGCTGGCTGCGACTCATCCGCACGCCTGACTTTTTCTGGCTGCGTTACAGGCTAATTCGGAGGAGTTCATTCCGGTCTTTGCGAACAACTCCCGAGAACTGAAGGCTTTTCTGGAGCACATGACCGAGGTGCAGGCTGACTCTCCGCAGGGCGTCTATGACACTTTACTGGAACTTCGACTCCAGAACTGGGCACACGAACGAGATGAGCAGGTTTGAGCTCCTCCCGCTTTGTGTTTTGAGAGGGAGACATGGTGTCTTTGAATGCTAACCTTTCCAGAGGAGCATCGATAACGTGAGGCAATACATAGGCTGTGCTGGACAGTTGGCGCGGAAGTGGGAAAGCAGCCTGCCAGCCGGGAGAACGCTCCTTCCGGTGAGGCTGAGCTTGTGTGGTACGCATCTCGCTTAAGAGCAGATTCCGGACAAGGTGACCTCTGTGGGCAGATGCTTCTCCCGCAAAAGTAGCTCTGCTTGCTTGTCTAGATCTCTGAGGTTGCCGGCCGCTCGGGTGAAAGAAATCGCGTCCTGTTTGCTTGAAAGGGATACAGGGCAAACAGCAGAACTCTCCTCTTCCAAAGAGCTGCAAATTGTCGTCAGGTCTTTGTGCAAAATGTTCTCTCTCTGTGCGTGCGTGCGTGTTGCTAACCCCGACCTGTGCCACTTCCCTGTAGGTCAAGGAGAAGCTGCACGATGAAGCCCTCACCCTCCTGAAGAGCGGAAGGTTCAAAACAGTTTTTGATAAGGCGTTGGTCTTATGTCAGATGCACAATTTCAAGGATGGGGTCCTCTACCTCTATGAGCAGGGCAAACTGTGAGTGTTGTTCTTGTCTGTAGAGTCCAGTGTCCCCCTCCCCGACTGCAGGGATTTCTGAGCCGTAAATGTCCCTGCCTTACAATGGTAACGACCTCTTCAGTATCTCAGGACGGCAGCTGTAGCTCATGGCTCAGCTGAAAACGTCTTGTCGTTAGAGTGGGGCAGTCACGTAGAGAGTGGATGACAGAACCGTCTCGGCTTCTGTGTGAACGGTTGAGGATTGGCTGGCTGGGTGAAAACCTTAGCCCCCTGTAACGACTCGAAGGAGGGGTGGATTGTTGCAGCTGACGAGTCTGTTTCTCCCGTAGTTTCCAACAGATCATGCACTACCACATGCAGAATGAGCAGTACAAGAAGGTGATCGAGGTGTGCGAGTTGTATGGCGACCAAGAGGCTTGTCTCTGGGAGCAGGCTCTCGGCTACTTTGCACGGAAGGAGGAGGACTGCAAAGAGTATATTGCTGCAGTACTGAAACACATCGAGAACAAGAACCTTATGCCTCCGCTGCTTGGTAATCGTGACGTGTGGCACCCCAAAAACAACCCCAAACCCCAAACTCAAGCTAGTTGGTAGCACTCTCTGTAGATTGAAAATTAGAGAGAAGTAGCGATGAGGTTTGAGCCCACCGTTTGAAGTATCGGCTGCTCCATAGGCAAAAGCCGTGCTGTTTGCAGCTGCCTGATTAGGGAGGAAGATGGGCGGTATCGGTCGTAGAGATGCCTGGACGTGATTTCTGTTGTCGGTGTGGGGAGTTGAAGGGCTTGCTGAAACTCTTGCTGTGCCTTGTTGGCTAAGCTGAAATGGAATCCAGTCCACTGGATCCTCGCTTTGCCCCTTCGGGTCAGAGCTATCCAAACACGCGCCCGGTCACCCGTTCCTGTGGAAGCGGTCAAACTCAAATCGAGTAGGAAATGAGCTCTCTGGTTGAGTGAGAGCTGACCGCCTCTGCCTGTAAGTGGCCTTTTACAGGGCAGCGGTCTGTCCGGGTAGGACAAGTGTAGCTGCAGTTTTTTCGCTGGTGTTGAAACTAACGTCTGGGTTGCTCTCAGTTGTGCAGACGCTGGCTCATAACTCCACAGCCACGCTGTCCGTGATTAAGGATTATCTCGTCAACAAGCTGCAGAAGCAGAGCCGCCAGATAGAGCAGGACGAGCAGAGAATTCAAAAATACCGAGAAGAGACTACGAGGATCCGCCGGGAGATCGAAGAGCTAAAAGCGAGGTGCGAGACTGTGCGCTGTCTTGCCTTACGTAGGGCAGAACTGTTGTTTCCTTCCACTAAAGGAAATGTATAAAGGGAAAATGCACTTTGATTTTCTCACCCTTCTGCCTCCTCTCTCTCAGTCCCAAGATCTTTCAAAAGACCAAGTGTAGCATTTGCACCAGTGCCCTGGAGCTGCCTTCGGTCCACTTCCTGTGCGGTCATTCCTTCCACCAGCATTGCTTTGAAAGCTACTCTGAGAGCGATTCAGAGTGTCCTACTTGCATGCCGGAGAATCGCAAAGTGATGGACATGATCCGAGCCCAGGAGCAGAAGAGAGATCTGCATGACCAGTTTCAGCATCAGGTAGGGTGCCGCTGCTTGTCTTAGCAAGCTGAAATAAATAAGGTGTGGATTCGTTTACAGATTCCCGGAGGCTGGCGGAGGAGGGTAAGGGTGAAAGTATTCCGTAAACGAGGTTACGTAGATTGTGAATGGTGAGGCGTTGGACCTTGGGGTGACTGCCTTATCTACAGGGCATCGGGAGTCCTCGATGCTCTCCAACGAGGAAAGAGAAGCTATTCTCACCTGGGCCCGACACGGATTGAGAGCTGTCGGTCAGGGTGACAGCTGGTCCACGGAACGGGGAGAGGAGAAGGGAACGAAAGCTGTGTGAATCGGGATGGGGACAGGACGGTGCGCTCGGGGCGCGCTGGCCTTGTGGCAGAGGAAGTGGCGGAGTAGAGAAGGGGCATTCGCTAGGCCAGGGTACCGCCCGTGGAAGCTGGAGCGGCCGAGGCAGTCGCTTTCCTGCTTAAGGTCATCGTTCATTACCTTTTCAGTGTGTGGCTCGGAGGCGGGATTGAAAGAGGAGGCGGAACTGCCACTGGCAGAAACCCTTGGCAGGGGCAGCTAGCTGCTCCTGTGGCACTTGCCGGGAAATAGCAGGGTAGCGGAGGGGTGACTTGGGCCGCTCTGTCTCCGCTAAAGGGGCTGTAAGCGCAGGGGGTGAAGGGGAAGGGGCCAGAGCGCGGAGGCTTTGGAGGCTTTTGCTGATGCTGCTGCTTTGTGTCCGGCAGCTCAAGTGTTCCAACGATGGCTTCTCCGTCGTGGCCGACTACTTTGGTCGAGGCGTCTTCAATAAGCTCACCCTCATCACGGACCTGCCCTCGGGCAAGGCGGCCGCGACGATTGAGGCTGGCCTGCAGCGGGAACTGCTCATCCACGCCAAGCGCAGCACCTGAGGCCGGGCCGTGTCTCCGCGGGCCCCCCCCTGCTCTGTCCCTCGGCCCCCCCAATAAACCAGACGAGCTGGGCAGTCCGCCGAGCGTGCGGGGCGGGGGGGGCGGGGCCGGGGCCGGGGGCGGGCGCGCGCCGTGGCCGCAGCCGCTCCCGAGGCCTGGTGGCGTGGGCGGCCGGACGTGACGTCGGGAGGCGGGGCTGCGCCGCGGGGCAGTGCGGGCGGAGGCGGCGACATGGCCGATCGGGGCGCGGCAGCCGTGAGTTCGGGGGTCTCGCGGGGGCCGCGGGCAGCTGCGGGGGCGACGGCGGGGCGGGGGGCGAGCGCTGACCAGGTTGTTGCCGCAGGGCGAGAACGGCGTGGGCGGCAGAGCGGTCCGCGTGGGCACCCGCCGGAGCCAGGTAGGCGGCGGCGGGGCGCGGGTTGCGGGGCGCGGGTTGCGGGGCGCGGGCAGGGCTCCCGTCCTCGGCAGGCGGGCGGGGACGAAGGCGGCGGCCGTCCCTCCGGGCCCCGGCGGTCCCGCGGCCCGGGAGGCGAGGTCGAGCGCCGAGCGAGTCGGCGGGCGCCGAAGCGCCGGGGCCGTGGCCTGGCACCGCCGCTGCGGGTGCTCGCCCGCTTGCGGGCGGCACGGAAGGGCTCGGCGAGCCCCGTCGTGCGAGAGCCCGGGGGCAGGGAGAGTTCGTGCGTCCCGGCGCTGTGCCTGGGGCTCCGAGAGCGAGCTTGGAAAACACTGCCTCGGGAGTCCAGGTGACGGTCAGTTCTGGGGAGCGCTGTTAACGGAGAGCAAAGGCGCCGACACCTTCCGGGAGAACGGGGCTGTAGACTTCTCCGCTCGCCAGGCTTGTGCGGCACTTAGGGGAAGGTGGGAAAAAACCCCGCCACGAAGCCAGAAAAGGCCCAGCACCTAAGGGCTTCGGCCCGCGCGAAGGGCAGGGAAGGTGCGGGTCTGGAGATACCGTGGGTATCTCTTGCCAGTTGCTCGCAGGAGGGAGGAGCAGGCTCGCCGGGGGAGATAATGTCCTTCAGGCCTCTGTTCCGAGATAATCTTGTTCGTTCTGGTAGCACGTTCTAGGATGAATTCTGTACTTCTGAGAAGGCACTTTGCATAGCGTCCGGGCAAGGAACCTAGCCCTGGGTGCATCCGACCTCTTTTTCTAACCTGAGGCTCTTACGGTGTTTTACAAAGGGAAGCAGCTACTTACCTTACGTGGAGGGAAACTACAGTCCTGAGAATAAAGTGAATTGCCCTAGGCTACACAGCTCATCAGTGGGAGAAAAGCTGAAACTCACTCGCTGTTGCTTGAGTCTGCTGCAGCTAGCGTGTGTGGAATCCTTCCCTCCTAGTGTAATTCTGTTGTTATTTTACTCGCTTCTGCTGTGCTTTTATGCAAGGGAATATTCTTCCTGCACTTTACTGCTTCAAGATCTGTTGCTTGCTGTGCGTGCAGACCTAAGCTGTTACTTTTTTTGTTACTTTTTTTCTTTTTCCTTCCCCCTCCGTAGATTCTCTAAATAGTGCTCTGATCTTGCAGAGGATAAGTCAGTCATCGCTGCCAGTACCTATTGATTTTTCCAGTGGCCCAGTGAAACCCTAGCAGCTACTCTCAAAACTTGCAGCATTGGTAAAATTTTGTACCCTTAGAAAAAGCTGAAGGTTCCCGGCGTGCGAGGTGACTTGTTCTTTTGTCACTGAGCAACGGGAGGATGTCTTGTCTTACCTTTCTGCCCGCTTGCCGATGAGCGGGCGTCTTTCAGCGGTCACGTTCCGCAGAGGTGAAAGCAAGTGGCTCAAAGCGAGGTAGGTACGTGCTGCCTACGGTAAGGGTGCCGAGGTGGTGTCGAGAAATTGAATTGCTGATTGGGGGATGGCGAATGATCTGAACACGGCTGGAAGCAGAGCGTGCTAATCCTGACGTGTACGCTTCTGCTCTAATCCTTCTTCCTAACTCGATCAGTTCTTTCCTTTGCGCTCAGATTGCAACAGCGCTGGACAGCCGGGCATGTTATTCGCCCTCTTAGTTGATAAAAAGAGTTCTTTGGTGAAATGCTCTGGTCGCGATACGAGTTCGCGTGGCTCAAGGAGCTGGTACATATGAGCGATTTGACTCGGGCCTACTTCTAATGCTTTTGATTTAGAGAGTGTAGCGGTCACGCATACCTGACTTGAAGAAGGCAAAGTCCTCTCTAGCTACTGTACGGATGATGTGCTCTTTGTTTAGGGCTTTGCTTTCTGCCTCGTTGCAGCTGGCCCGGATTCAGACCGACAGCGTGGTCGAGATGCTCCGTGAGCTATACCCCTATCTGCGCTTTGAGATTGGTAAGTTTTTGGCCGAGGCTGCCCTGGGGTGGATGGCAGCGGGAGCCAGCCGCTTATCTTTGTGCGCGAGAGGGGCGCGTAGGGTGCTGTCGCAAGGAGGAGGATCCGACCCCGCTTATCTACGACTGCTGTCTGAATTCAGTTAGGTCGTGTGGCTGAGCGGCTGCTGCTGGTTCCTTCTAAGAGAGGAGGATGGATTTCATAAGCTCTTGATGATCGAAGCTCGGAGCATGTCATGCAGATGGTGTTGTGTTGCTCCATACGAGAACCTGGTGTCGCTCCGCTGTACCCCGTTGTGTATTGGAGATACGTGTATTTCCTGTCCGGGGCTTGAGACGTTCACCAGGAATAACGGGAGCCCGGCCTTGCGCTGGAAGAGAGCTGCTGAGTACTTGTTTAGCAGCGCTCTGGAGAAAGACCGTGGCACTTTCCGTGGGGTCAGCGCTTAGAAAAACCTGCCCTCTTTCCCCTTGCTCTGTTTTTGAGAACAGCGAAGGAAGTCTCGATTTCACTTGTCTCGAGCGCGGTATATTTCTAGAAACGGGCTGCTCTTTTAGAGTTATCCGGAGTCTGGGTTTGCACGGTAGCCTGTGACACTGTACTGCTCGTTACGTGTGACGTAGATGTTTCCAGCCTAGGCCTAGGTGCTCTGACCGAGCCTCGCGTTTTACCTGTGCCCTCTCTCTGAGCAGTTGCCATGTCAACGACTGGAGACAAGATCCTGGATACAGCGCTTTCCAAGGTAAACGCTCTCTTCTTGCTCTAAACGAGAAGTAATTGTATTTGATGATGTCTTCGCAGACGTTTCCTTTGTGATTTGCGTTCCTCCGTTTCTGTGTAGATTGGGGAGAAGAGCCTCTTCACCAAAGAGCTGGAAAATGCCCTTGAAAGAAATGAGTAAGAGCTCATTGTTTCTCTTCCTGGCCTGGCATTCGTGTGGTGCTCTTTGGACGTCCTTGGCTTGCTGCGTATGTGATCTAGTTTCCTTCCGTTCCGGTGCCTCTCTGGCTAAGAAAGAAATCCTTCGATAAGTCACTGTCCCCCTCTTTTTTTCTTTCCCCTCCCTACCTTGGGTTTAGGCCAGGTATTCTGAGGTGGAGTTGTGCCGCTTGGTCTGCCGCAGTTAGGTGTTTTTCTCCCGTGACCTGTGTGTTATGTGCGCATCAGAGAGGATGTAATTTAAACTAATTCCTGCCTGCAAGTACGTTCTTTGGAAGATAGTTTGCTTGGCGGTGTTCACATATCGCGTAACGTATTTAGTGCTATCATCTTAACATTTCTTAATGTATTTGCACAGTAAATGTGCAGGAGATTTGGGTGCGGGCAAGTTGTGCTGATGCTTTTGGGTAACTCCTTTCTGCGGGAGAACTCGGTTCACGCTCCTGCTGGAACAGAGAGAGATTAGCGTGGGGTTTTTTTGTTTGTGTGTGTGTGTGTTTTTGTTTGGTTGGTTTTTCGCCCCCCCTACCCCGGGCTTTTTTTTTCTTCTTTCGGTATCCTGAGGAGGGTTTCAGTGGTGCTTATGCCTTAGTTAAAGTGGGTTTAAAAATAAAGATATTTTTCTGCACGTCTGGCACCTGAGCACGCGATACTGCGTTTTTGAGGTAAAGTCAGTGAAAAAATACCGGAGGCTCAGGTATTTACGGTGATGTTCATTTACCCTGTAATGAAGTCGATAGTTTTTACTTTGGCTAGCTATGACTTTGAGTTTGAAGCCTAACGGTTGCATATTGGTGCGATGAGTCTTTCCGCGTGAATGTCTCCAGCATCTTCCCGTCACTCAGCCTGATTGTTTTAACGTGTCTTGCATCGCTGCTGGGAGGAAGGCAATGTTTTAAATTTACAGGTGGGAAAAGAGAGACCGAGAAAGGTGAAGCGGCTTTTTGGGAGTAACACGAGAATTCGCCAGGAATTCTGGCTATAGAATCCTGAAATTCTTCCCTCTTCTCCAAAGTAACTGCCAGGGTGGCTTCGCACTTCTCCGTAGATGCCCTGCAGGCCGCCGGTAGGTACCGTGTGAGCTCGGCCATCTCTTCGGTGATTACTTTCTTCTCATTTTTAGAGTTGACCTTGTGGTTCACTCCTTGAAGGACCTGCCAACTTCTCTTCCTCCTGGCTTTACCATCGGTGCTGTCTGCAAGTAAGTGTGATCGCGCGAGGCTCGATTCTCTGAGGGACTTGCGTTGTACGGTTTTGGTAGCGGTAGGGAAGTGAAGGCACCTTAGGTCCTTCTAGGCGTTCAAAGTTTGACTGCCCTCTGATTAATCTCTGAAATAGTGGAAACGCCAGAGCTGTCCTAGTGCTCTGTAGCCCGCAGGTTCGCTGGAAATTCTTGCTATTACGATGACGATGGGGTATGTTGGGGCCAGAGGCGGGTCCTCTGGGGACCGATAGCAGGTAGGACTGCTCAGCTTCGCAGCCTTCTGTTACGCGACGTGTCAGCCGTTCTGTGTTTGCGTTAATTTGCAGAAGGGAAAACCCGCTCGATGCTGTCGTCTTTCATCCCAAAAACTGTGGGAAAACACTGAGCCTCCTTCCTGAAAAGAGGTGAGTGGGGAGAGGAAGGGGAAGACAGGCAGGTGTGAAAAAGGAAAGGAGGAGTTGGCTGATGCTTCCCAGCAGCAGGCCGATGGGCTCCTTGCTTTATCCTGTAATGGTTTTACGCTGCCTGCCTTTAGCTTTTCATAGACGTTACGCTGAACCCGCTTGCTGAAAAGAGCAACGCTGTCTCCTGGGAATGCTGCGCGCTGGGTGAGGTTGGATGTCTCGAGCCACCCTGGAGTTGTGATTGTTTTCTCAAGCTTAGATCCTTCCTTGACAGTCTCCAGAGGGAATTCCCGCGCCCTTGTACGGTGCTTACTGCAGGGCAACGCACGCGATGCAGACAGGGTGTCCAGGGCGGTGTTTTTAGGTCGCGTGGGCCCGAACCGTGCTCTTGGTCCCACCCAGCCAGTTTCAAGTTCTTCATTGTTTTTCTGGCATCGCTTTCTTCCGGTTCTGCTGGGAGCTTGAGCGGTTTCTATGTTTTGAATTAACCGCCTCGTCATAGAGGTTATCGGAGACTTTTGTCCGAGGCAGCGGAGTGAAGTTATTTAGGTTAAGGTAACTATCAGAAAGACGATGTTTTTGGTCGGTGCTTAAGCTAAACCAAACAAACTGGCTGTGACGCAAACGTAGACTAGCGCTTCTGTGCATCTGGGTAGTGGGAAAATCGCATCTGGTTGAGGTGCCGGGGTGCCAAGAAAAGTGAATAGCGTACGTCTCTAGGAAGGAGATGCTTACTGCCCAGGCTGGCAGTTTCCTGTGGTTTCCAGTTATCCACCTTACTGTTCCCAAAGGTTCTCTTCCCGCTGCCTTTCTATCGCCGAAGGAGTCCTGTTTTAGGAACTTCAGTTGGCTGGCTGTGTCTGGTGCGGTTTAGGGCAGCCGAGTCATTTTCTGTGGCGAGCGCTGTGGTCTTTAAATGAGGTTTCATCGGTCCCTGACGGTGGCTAGGGGCTCTCCTCTGGAAGCATCTCCTGTAGTTTGGTTCCTGGGCAGTGGCTTGCCTGCATCCAGCCCCTGACAGGCTTTACGCTAAACCTCAGAGAGTGGTTTTCTTTCTTCTAAGGAGATAGAAATCATTGGCAGGTTCTTGGATCTTCATGTCAATTAAAAAAAAAAAAAAAAAAAAAAAAAGGTTAGAATTTGTTTCCTTTGAAAGTTCTGACATAGCTAACTCTGTCTGGAGATAAGCATGGGAGTATTCTGGATTTCATTGATTTTTATTTTTCCCACAGTGTGATTGGGACCAGTTCACTTCGGAGAGCAGCCCAGCTCAAAAAGAAGTTCCCTCAGTTAGAATTCAGGGATATTGTATCCTTTCCTGGCAAAACGTGGGAGCTGGATAAAGTGGCAAGCAGGAAAATATAACTTAACGCAAAATCTAGACTCGAGGCTGATGTATACCACCCGACCTACGAGAACAAACCGCCTCCTTAAAGGCGACCCTCTGCTAACCTGTTCTGAGAGGGGTGTACGGCGTTCCGTAGCCCATTCTGCCTTCTCCTTTGTCACGAGGCTGTAAAGGGGGGCTGCCTCAGCCTAGCTGAGAGTCGGGATGCCGATGAATTCTAAGTTAAGGAGTGTTCGAAAAACTGCTCGACGCGTGCCTACCGTACGTTTGTCGCAGCGGGGTGGCCAAACGTCGATCCGTTCCCGGTAGCCCAGATGCGACGTGGGCTGCTGAACTAGGGGCAAGAGGCCCTGTTGCTCCAGTCGTAGTAATCTAGTTCTTTGCTGTGCAAAAGGAGTTGGTGTCGGGTGTTCATAACGCACTCAAATGACATGCGTCTCTCTTGAGTCTGGGCTTGAATGAATATTCCATAATGCTTGGAAAAATTCGATGCAAAGAACCAGTTGCCCGTGTAGTACTCTGATTCTCGTTCGAAGGCTGTTGGATTTTGTACGTTCTGTACGTACACTAGCGAATGTGAAGTGCTTACGGGACTGTTTGCCTGCTTTTTCTACGCTTGCTTAACCGCTGCTACAGAGAGGGAATTTAAATACCCGCTTAAAGAAGCTAGATGAGAAGGAAGACTTCAGTGCCATCGTTCTGGCTGCCGCTGGGCTGAAGAGGATGGGCTGGGAGGATCGCATTGGCCAGGTGAGGAGCGGCAAAGCAGAGAATACCGTTCTCTGCCGCACCGTCGACTGCTTGCCTGTCGGGCCTTGCGGTTGCCCTGTCAAAGAGGAGCGTGCAGTCTGCTGAATCTGTCACCGTGGTGGCTTGTGATTCGATGCACTTCAGGGAGGATACTTGGTTGTCGCTGTCGCTGTTTTCTTCATAGAGAATTTTCTGCTGTTCAGCTTTCCGTGGGGCAGTAACAGCACTTTGCACTCCGATCGTCTCCCAGCGCTTCCAATACCTGTGTCTAGCGGTGCAGCCGTTGGCATGACCGAGATTTTTCTGATTAGCTAATGCACGAAGTTTTACGGTCCAGGTGAAGGCGAGCGCATTGTCTTACTGTAGGGGTGGAAACACTGAGGCGCGGGAAGGGGGAGGTGATATTTCTTTGGTCGCGCGCAAAATCTCCAGAGGTCAGAGGTGAGCGTAGCATTTGGCTCTCGCTTCCAGTATTCTGCAACTCGAGTTAACTCTGATTTTGTTTTCTTCCAGCTCCTAAGCCCTGAAGATTGTCTGTATGCTGTTGGACAGGTAGAGTACAGCTTTTGTATTTTAAGCCATACCGTTTATTGAGAGCCGGCAGCGGTACGACACATCGAGAGTAGTTAATCGTACCGAATGCTTTTTGCGTGTCGGTTGCTGAAGAACTACTAAGGTCGATCTCCTTTGCTGGCCGTTACGCTGTTTTCGGCACGGCTTGTGGGAAGAATGGTAGTCGGCTCTGTTGGCGTGGTGGGGGTCATTTCCATCGGCGATGGAAAAAACGGTAAACGGTAAAGGTAACTGTGGCCCAGCCGCGCCAGGGCGATGCGGCCGATACGGGGCAGCCTGTGGCTGGGTCCACGTTGCGCGGTACCGGGATAGAACCGTGATGAGCCACCGCAGTACCTTTGCCCTGCGACGCTCCCTCCCTCTCCCTTACGCATGGTGTCCTAACTCCTGTAGGGTGGAGCTGAAACCCCTGCCTTGGAGCACATGCTTCTGTTTCTAGGCCGGCAAACTGTTCTGGCCCCTGTGGCTGCGTTTACCCAGCGTTCCGCGGTGGGCATCAAAGTTGCTAAACCCAGGCTGGCTAACCATCGGCGATTGCAAGCGACGAACCTGCAAATTCAGTCTCAAAGTGCCGTTTTTTGATCATGGTACTGCGCAGTTCCTTTTTCCTTATTATTTTTTAAAAATTCTTTTCCCCAGTCTTGTTTGCAGTTTAGGGAAGAATTGTTTTGTCACGGTCAGTCAGCGCTTGATCTTTATCTCGAGAAAAGGTTGGAAAGCTTGGATTCATCCAGCCTTCTCATCAGAAAGGGACATTGGAGGGTGTGTTTCTATATCTGCAGTCATAACGGAGCTAGGTTCTAGAATGGGTTGAGGTGACGGTGCGATCTGGAACGCTTGGCTGAAGTAAGTTCGGATCTTCCCTTTACAGCAGCTGCTATAGGATGTCTCTGCGACCAGTGGACTGTTTTGTAATACGTTTCTCTAACCGTCACTACCATACCGAAATGCAGCCGAGCCCGAGTCCTGTTTCGTGCCTGATGCTGAGTGCGCAGATGCCTGACGTTGAGGACTTGTGATGATTACGTTGTGTTACTTCTTCTTTTTATAGGGTGCCTTAGCAGTGGAAGTTCGTGCCAAAGACCAAGAGATACTGAATATGGTATCTGCTCTGCACGACGCAGACACTGTGTTACGCTGCATCGCCGAGAGAGCCTTTATGAAACGTCTGGTACGTGTGGCACCCTTGCTCTTCTGCCTGCAGCGGTAAATACCGCTCTGCTAGTTGACCTGACCCCACAGGATGGGAAATCTGTTACTCTCTCCTAAAATGGCGAAATAGAGATTACTTCTTGATGGATAAGGGCCTGAAGAGTGATAGGTGGGGCTGTGTCCAGCCTAAGCTTTTCAGAGGCTTCTGCTTTGAACGTGTCAAGCAGGAGCCTCGGTGTCAGCCGCTTTCTGTTTTAGGAGGGTGGATGTAGCGTCCCTGTTGCAGTCAACACTCTGCTGAAAGACGGCCAGGTGAGGAGTGCTTAGTATTTCTCTGGGATGATTTCTGAAAGCCTGTTCCTGTGCGTGCGTGTTCCCTAATCCTTCCCCGGAGGTAACTTCACCGGATGTCTTGATAGCCGAGTGGGGCAAAGAGGCTCCCGAGTCGAGCCTTCCGGGTTTGTTTGCAAGGCAGGAGTATGAGAATGGGTCTGGCTACTGAAGCTCAGTGCCCTTCTGATAAGAAGTACCAGATTCCCTCCCCGTGTGTGCGTGTCCATCCCCTTTTTTAAAGGTAGCATTGCCCTGAGATCTGGGTGTCTCGCATCTGACCCCGGGAAGGAAAAAAAAACCCCAAACCACAGTGTTTTTACACAACAGAGTGTGATTAAAGAGGTGGGAAGCTAGATAAAAGGTCAAGTTTTTTCCCTGGGGAGTCAAGTCTCCCCTACCAGGGATTACCTTCCTTATAGTTGTATTGTACCGCTATTCCTGCTGATCCCACGGCACCTCGAAAGCCTTCCCCTCCGGGCTCGGCTTCCTATGTTGAGAGTTTTCTCTAAGTAAGGGTGTAGTTGGCTTTCTGTTTGTTTGTTTGTTTGTGAACGCACTATCAATTCCTCCTGTCTGTCCTTCCAAGTTGTATTTGACGGGAGCGGTCTACAGTTTGGACGGATCCGATAGCCTGAAGGAGACTATGCAGACCAGTGTTAATTACCCCCAACAGGTACGTGAACCCCAGTGACTTCCAAATCCAAACCTTCGGCTGAATGAGAAAACCAGGCCTTTGGAAATCTGCCTGTTACTTTTGGTCTGGTTCCTGGGAAACTGTAGCAGCTCACTGGTCTGGAGGCTCCTCAGACCACCGATTTTGCCCCGTTTCACACGTGGCTGAAACTGTTCAGCGCCTGCTCCCTCCCGACGCCTTACGTTGAGGTGTTTATATTTGCAGAATGAAGATGGGCCAAACGACGATGTGCAGCACGTTGGCATCACGGCCAAGAATGTCCCCGGTCAGGCCCAAGAAGCTGCAGAAGACCTTGGTGTTGAGCTAGCTAGTTTACTTCTGAGTAAGGGAGCTAAGCATATCCTTAGCGTGGCAAGGCAGCTCAACGATGCCCGCTAAGCCTGTGGTGCGGTCAGCGTGATTGCTAGGAGCCTAGCAAGTCTTTGCAGCTACACCGTCATCCTCCTTTGGAGGAAGGGATTTACTTAAACGTTCACACTGGTCTGATCTGATGTGTGGGCACAAAAACTTGAAATACTAAGGTAACTAACTCGAGTTGTGTACGCCGTTGAGGGTTTTCATCCCCTCTGTGTTTCTCTGAATTGCAAAGTGTCTCTGTGAAGTTGTTTCAACAATTTTTGTGGGTAGGAAGGCAAAAAAAAGTGGGGAAAAACAAAAACAGGACAAACCCAAACCCAAACCAAACGAACCAATCTGTAAGTGTTCTATTCCATTTAGGAACAAGGCACTCTTTACAGATTAGTCAGGGACTCGGCAGTGACGGTAGTAAAGTGCTGTACTGTGCTGCCGGAACTAAAGCACTCTGGGTAGTCGTGTCATTGGGGCCCATTTGCTCCACCGGAACGCTGACAACTGCTACTTAGCTTCCTAATAGCAGGTTGCTTGGAGTAGAGTAGCGCAGATGCCGCTTTCATCAGGCTTGGCTAAGGTAAGGAACTAAGCTTGCAGTTTTATCAGATGCAAATCTGTCGAGGGGTCAGTAAGAACTTGGGAAGCGGCCAGCCAGGCTAGCTTCCCTTGTACGCTTGCCTACAGGGGTTGTCCGAGTCAGTCGTTTGTCTACACTAACCAGTCACCGGGGAGCCCCAAGGTGGGCGCTCGTGCCTTTGCGACTGTGAGCCCTTCCTTTAACTGAGGCTCCTGGCCCCCTCTGCCACGCTGCCATCCTCCCGGGGGGGCTCGTGCGTCACAGTGCCTCGTGGAAACACTGAAACGGCACCTCGCCGGGGCCCCGTTTTGGAAACGGAGCATCGTTTATTCTCTATGCAACGTCCACCGAATGTAACAGACGAGAAATACAGTGACATGATAAGCACCGCAGTGCGAGCCCAAGTCTGTGCGGAGCCGCGGCCCGGTCTCGACGGGGGCGTTTCCCGCCTCTCCCCCGGTCGGCTGCCGGCACGCGCGGGCGCCGCCCAGCGGCCAGGCACGCGTCCCGTCGCGAGCGCGCGGGGCCCGGCGACGCGCCCCCTCCCCCCCAGCGGATCGCAGCTCTCTCGGTGAGCGATGGGGGTGGCCCTGAAAAGGGCCTTTGTGTGGTGCCGGGGGAGGGGCGGGGGGGAGGAGGGAGGGAGGGAGGGCGGGCGGGCGGGCGGCCTAGTACTCCTGCGACTGCTGCCCGCTGCCCTTCTTGCCCGCCTTGGCGGGCCCCGCGCCGCCGCCGCCGCCCGTCTTTTTGGGCAGCAGCACGGCCTGGATGTTGGGCAGAACGCCGCCCTGCGCGATCGTGACGCCGCCCAGCAGCTTGTTGAGCTCCTCGTCGTTCCGCACCGCCAGCTGCAGGTGACGAGGGATGATGCGCGTCTTCTTGTTGTCACGCGCCGCGTTGCCCGCCAGCTCCAGGATCTCGGCCGTCAGGTACTCCAGCACGGCGGCCAGGTAAACGGGCGCGCCGGCCCCCACCCGCTCCGCGTAGTGCCCGCGCCGCAGCAGCCGGTGAACGCGCCCGACCGGGAACTGCAGCCCAGCCCGGGACGAGCGAGACTTGGCCTTAGCTCGGGCCTTACCGCCGCTCTTGCCACGGCCAGACATGGCGCCTCGCTACGCTCCGGCCACCGCCGCCTTCCGCTCGCAGCTCTGCGGCGAAGTGAGGCGGGAGGGCCCGCACCCAGCGTTTTTATAACCTTCCTCAAAGTAGGCCTCAGCCCATTGGACGGCGTCGCCGCGCCTCCCTATTGGCGCATCTGACGGAAGAAAGTTCTTGCTGACTGGCCGCCCGTGCGACACCACCGCGCTTGCCCCGACTCTATTGGTGACGGAGACCGGCCAATAAGGAGGTAAGGCGCCAAATTCATACCGCGCTGAGGCCGTTGGTGCGCGGCGCCTCCGGGGGCGGAGAGCGGGGATCCCGGGGAGGGGGGGGTGGGGGGGTGGGTGGGAAGGCGCCCCGCTGCCGCCGCCGCCGCCGCCCGCCCCCGCAGCAGGACCTGCTCGGCGGCGGACCTGCCTGCTCGTCAGGGAGCCGCGGCCGGCGTGCGGGCGGCGGAGGGGCTGGGCGCGCCGCTCTGGTGCGCCTCTGTTGCCTGCGCTCGGGACGACCTGAAGGGCTCGCGGAGCGCCTCTCGTGCTTCCCCGTCCAGCCGTGGGCGGGCAGAGCGCCTACCGCGCGAGCGCTGGTGCTCCCGATGGGAGGTGCTAAGGCTTCGAGATCGGTTCAGCGTAAGGAGCTTTGACTGTGTCGCCTCGTAGGTTACGTGCGTAAGGGTTGGTCGCGGTCACTCGGGGCGGCGGAGCAGTGACAGGAGATGGGGTGCTCTGATGACCGAACCGGCGTCATGCCGGCCTGGCTGGGCAGTTCCCGGAGCTTTTTGACGAGCGGGAACGGTCGCTGGGCCAGGACACTGGTCCTGGCCTGGCTCTCCTTCAGAGTGAGTGAGGCAGCGAGGGCTCCTGGGGTGCCTGCAGCCCGAGGGGGATCCCCGGCTGTAGGGGTATCGGGCTTACGATGGCACACCGGGGAAGAGCGTTCGGGGATGCGTAAAGCCTGCGGCGAGATCCTTTTTAGGGGATTGCAGGAACGTGTGAGCTGCACTACGGGTTCTTTAAGGGGAGCACCGAAGGTGGGGAAGGAGTCCAGGCGGGCCAGGAGGCAAAAACATGGGACTGTGGATGGAATAGCGGGGTGACAAGGGTGGTTGTGTGTGAACGTGTTGCTGATGATCGGTGGGAGCCTTTGCCTCTGCAATCTGTCCTGCCTCGCTAAACTCCATTTCTAGTGTTTTTCTAGGGCGAGGGGACCGTCTACCCTGTGTGCATATGTCTGGCTGGAGGTCTCAGTGCCAGCAACTGGCGTAAGGCCAGCGGTCAGCGGGGGCCAGTACATATGTACGCATGTGGTAGCAGCAAACGGGGGAAGATTGGAGCATGTGAGGACGTGGGCCAGGGCTAGCATGGAATGTCAGCGTGTGATCGCGGGCGAATGAGCCGGCCTACCGAGCGAGCAGGGCGATGGGCTTTGGAGCCAGGTATCCGGGACCAGATACGGGAGAGATTGGGGTCGGCAGGTTGCTTAGTGGAGGTAGGCCTAAGCCAGCTTACTGGAGAAAACAGGTGCGTGTCTGAGGGTCGGCTCCCGGAAGGCCCTACGTCTGGATCGGCTGGCAGAGAGATTAAGTTCTGTCTCTCTGCCGGACTAAGTGAGAATTTTTGAGTAAGAGCGAGCAGAGCGGTACTGTGAACCTCAGGTGTCGGTATGGCCCAGTGCCGGGAAATCCAGCGGTTAGTTCCTGGACAGGCCGAGTGTTCAAGGCCAGCTACTCAAGGGATTCGTAATGTTTGTGTGCGTTTACATGTATAGGTTTATATGAACGTAATCTACTTCCAAACGGATTGGCTGGAGAGGAGGAAGAGGAGTCGGCCAACTGTACCATCCACATTTGAATGCCGTGTGTTTTCTGTGTCGATCGGTGTCGCTGCACGCGTGCGCTTTTGACTACTGGGAGTACATTCCCAGCCTCGCTACTGGCTGGACTCGGGCGCGTGGAGGTACGGCAGCCTTGCATCTTATTAAGGTACCGGACTCGGCAACTTCCACCGTCACGCATCTCAGCATCCCTGTCTTTGCTGTTGCGCTATTGTTTTGCTTTTCGCGCCCGTTAATTGCGTGCACTCTTTAACCTGGTACTGCGATGGCCGTTCCCTGTTTTCCTGCCGGGCACGTAGCGATTCTGTGGTGAACTGTGGTGTCGGATAGCGTTATATCGATAATGATTTGTATCTGAGGAAAAGGTAATGGCGGCCCGAGGCGGTCTCGCTTCCACGTTAATCTAAGGCTTTTACTGGTATCCTGTTACGCGAGGACACGGTCATCCTTTCTCTGCTAGCCTGTTCCGAACAGGCTAGCAGGAAGGCAGATGATAAAGATGTTCGGAAATAAAAGCCCGTTGGTGAGAACGTTCCCGGTAGCTGTTGGAGAGGGGGCAGTCTACTGCTGAAATGATCTGCCCCCCTAGCAGGGTTGTAAGCCACAGAGGTGTGTCGCGTAACCTAGTTTCACTGCGAGTTAATATTCTCGAGGCAAAGCACTGAAGGGGAAAGGGTATCATGAGTTATTTTATTCTCAGGGCACTCGGGGTTTCGGGTATGGTTTATAACACGTCGCTCTATGACCACGGACCAAAGACAGGATTGCAGAAGCCAGGAGGGGATTCTAGTTTACTCGTTCTGCTGTACTGAGTCTTGCAGAAATTGCAGCCCCTGTTTTCTCTCTCGGGGAACAGCGTTCTTTTTGTTAGACGTATAGAGATCTCATCTTTCCTACCTTCCCTAAGTGCCGTGAGGAGACATTTGGGGCATTTACCTCCCCTCCGACAGGTATTCCTGGTAACGGTGACGTCCAACTAGCAGTGAACCTTTTCTGCCAGCAGAATTGGACGAAAGCCTTCTGTGTGCAAAAAAAAGAAAGATGATTACAGTTCAGGACTGGCCCGTGCAGGATAGTTGCTTGCATCTGTGACGGGCATCCTGAGGGTCTCGGAGGGCCGGAGTAAGATCAGTGGAATTGGTTGGTCAGCAACGGGAGAAGAGCGACCCGCAGGTACGACACTTTCCCCTGCTCCCCGACAGCCCGGTCAGACGTCGTAAAACAAGCGCACTAGTTGGTACCGGATTGAAAATGCCATCGTGCTGCCCAGGACCTAAGTAAAAATCAGACAGAAAACGGAAACGTTATAGCGTTAAGTAGTTTGCGGACAGGCGAGTTCCTCCTTTCCAGATGGATTTCCTATGCTTTCTGGCGTGCCTCGTTTGACTAAACAACAACACGTAGGCTAATTATTTTAGGTACGGGAAGGAAGGCAAAAGGCAGAAGTCTACCCACGTCCTCGGCTCTTTCTCTGAGAGTCGTAGCTATCCGTGGGGGATTTCCGCACGAGCCTGCGCACACGTTACACCGTTGTGAGAACGAGTGGAGGAGAGGCACGGTGGGGAACGATTCTGTCCTCCTTAAGGAGCCCGTATTGTAGCGTAAACCCTGCGGTTTGTAATGGAAAATACCTCATGTCAAAGCCAGAATTTGGCTTCCTTACAAAAAGGTGTTGCCGTGACTTCCCTGCTGTGACTGTGCTCGAGATCCCGGGGTCGCTACTTCCCAGCCTCTCCCATCCCCGGTGTAGTGTGCCTAAGACCTCTTTGGCCTACAGGTTTGTTTTGTTGGAAGTCCCTCCTCCCGGATGGACATTTGGCTAAGTGTCTCCTCTCTTTCCTAATCAGAACCTCTTATCTCTGATCTGGGAACGAAAAAAGAATTTTACTGCGGGCAGCTAAGTGACGTGGGCCTTCCCAAAAGCGGTCTTTCTGCTATGTCAGGCACGGGCGATCACACTGCCGCTACCTCTAGTCGGCACATCTTGTGATCTAAGTTGCCTCAAAACGCTCCCGCACCCTGCTCGGATTCCAGATCCTACTCAGCCACGTGCCGCGCTTCGGTCAGATTACCAGCCGGAGACCGCTCCGGGACCATGTTATTCGGTGCGCCTGAAAACCGGGAACGTGGAATAACGCCGTACTGGGTCAGAGCGACGAGGCGTTCCGCTTTCCTAAAGCTTTTCTAGCAGCCAACGATCTCTGCCTCGAGAATCTTCTCAAGCGAACCTAAGGACTTTGTATTCGTTAGCTCCCGATGAACGGGGAGCGGGGAGGAATCTATTTCCTCCTTGAGCTGTGTAAACCTCTATGGTCCCGAAGTTCCACAGCTTGGCTGCATCGTGCGTGAAATGATAGAAAGCTTCCTCCTTTCCCCTCGCGCCAACATCTCGAGACCGATTTGGGTCTGTTTCTATTGCAGACTACATCTTTCTACCGGAGGGGAACCATTTGTCTGACCTGAATGAGTAGCAACAGGAGAGTGAGATTTCGCTCGTGGGTAGGTCCGATCAGCTTTATAATGAAGTTAATAAGCGTCATATTATTGCACTCGGTGTATTCGCCATCTTCATCCGTTCCGCTCCTCACATCTACTATGTGCAAGACCTTGACTGCCTGGGGAAAGAAATATCGCACGCTATTTATTTCACCGGTGCTCACCGGCTGGTTTTTGCTTAAGATCCCTTCTGCTGTACCAACTCTGCAGTCTGGCTCGTGCTTTTGCTGAAAGGGCAGCGCAGGCCGATGATGGTCCTGGGATGCTGCTAAGTGCGCTTATACGGAAAGACGGATTACTGAGACCGTCCAGTGACCGTGAGGGATGGCGATGGTTCAAGCGGAATATTTTCTTACGGATCTGAGCCAGGAAATAACCAGCAGACCCAGTTGTTCTGCATTCCCTCCCATCCTGTTCCTCTCCCGTTTGATTGCTGCCCCAAAATGCATCTGGATTTTGAATGTTTTCCAGCTATTACCTTCAGAAGAGTCGTCCCCAGGGCAGAGAGGCTCTTCGTTTTGAATTTGGAGTAGCTCATCTCCAACTTCCCTGTGTCAGGATTGAGCCTAAAAGAAACATTACCATCTTTGTCCGGACGGAGCGAGGAGACAGAGAGCTCTCTCTCCAAGCGGACTTAGATCCCTAGCTGAGTAGCCGAGAAAGAAGTCCAGTGGTGGAAACAGCAGGAACAATCTGAGACGCCTAACGATGGCTGCTGATACCTAGTCCCTCAGATCGAGCAGACTTGGGAGGAGATTCCTCTCCACCGCACCCCCCAGATAACGTGCATGAAGCCGTATCGTTTGAAAAATAAAATGGAAGAGTCTCACCAACGTCTGTCGAGACAACTGCTCCTATGGCATAGTGCCAACCAGAAGGCTGGGCACCATGAAACCTTAGCAGACCCTACCGCAACAGCATTAGAAAAAGCAGCCCCTGTTGATTTCTCTCTGAAAATTAGCTGAGTATAATTAGCGGAGTATAATAATTAGTAGCTGAGAATAATCGTGCTCTAACACTGTTAAAAAGCCCGCTCCTCTGTCTCTGGTGGGTGGGGTGGTCCAAAAAGTGAACATCTCAGAGAAACCTCTGCCACAGGACTTGACTGTAGCTGGCGGAGGGAGACAGCTAACTTTTAACCATACAGCTTACTCTGATGGCTCTTAAAAAGAGCACCTACCGCCACCTTTCTCAGCTGATGTCGGCAAGAAAAGCCGCGATCTGTGGTACCGTTACAGATCACTCGGGTACGTTACCTCGGCAGCCGGTGACGGGGACAAGGAATGACGTGGAAGAGTTGAGGCAACGAGTAGAGGAAGTTGAGCACTTGCGGGATGAAAAACAGCAGCATCGTTTTGCTGAAGTGCCCCAAAATCCCCACCACGGCGAAGGTCATGCCGGCAAAGTAGCAGAAGGTGTCCCCGACAAACACTCGAGACGGGTACCTGCAATCCACAGGGGAGAAAAACAAAAGTCTGTCACGAGCGCTGCTGCTGCGAAAATGACTTCGTAACCGCCGACTATTCCCACGGGGCAGCTTCGGGGCCAAGAGGGAACCGCAGCAGAGCTACACGCTAAACGCAGTGACAGGTATTGATGGTAACAACCGCGGGACTGGCACCCGCCAGGTGATTTGCAGAGCATACGGTATGAAAAAATGGCTAGCGAGACATACGAGGGTAGTCTGGGCATCGGGATGAGCCAGTGTGAGCAGCATCGTCCCGATAAAAAGAAAAGCTGCCAGTGTGTCGGTGCAACGCGTTCTTGGTTCCGCCAAGAAGCCTGTCTACGCTCCAGCGTCCCGTCTGCACATCGGGTAGCGGTTTGGTTTTGTTTGAAAAAGGAGAAAGTGAAGGGAAAGCCCGCTTCCGAAAAAACTCTGAATGTCCGTCCTCTTACCAGTTGTGGTAAAACAGCCCCAGCGTGGTAAAAAAAAAAGGAATCATGAAGTAGAGAGAAAAAATGTGATCTTCTCGATAATCCCCTACAGAAAAAAAGAAAAAAAAAAAAGCGTTTGTGTTAAAACGGGTCCGGTTGATTTTTAGTGATACCAGACCGAATCCTGGATTTAGCGATCTCCCTTTGCTTTTTGCACCCTCGAATGCATACGTTATCTTTCTTACCGTTTAACTCTACGATGTTGAATACGATAATGGAAGCTGCTATCACCAGAGACTGCCCCGCTTCAATTCCGTTAATTCCCGCAAGAATGTTGATGGCGTTTGTGCAGAACACTGCTAGCATGCCCATGTACACGTAGTAGAGGATACCTGCAGATCAGAGCCAGCCCGGCGCTTTAATATTCGGTGGTGAGGCAGGCCCCCGTCCAATTCACCGAAGCTCTCCCTTCCCGCTTCGTACAGCAGCCCCTTGCCTTCCGATCGCGGTACCTTAGCAATAAATCTTTCCCTTTCCCCTGAATCGGCCACCACGCGTGCACCTACATACGCCACGGTGACCGTGGCAAACTGTCGTGACCCGGCGGCAGACTGCCACACTCCGTTTCTGTCCTTCGGCCTTTCTGGTGTCGGCGGCCGAGGGCCGTGCGCACCTGGCGCTCGACTGTCTCGCCAGAACCCCGGGAAAAGGATGGGTGCCTATCTGCGCGCAGCTGAAGGCGCGCCAGGGTTCCCCGTGTTCTTTCCGGCCTGATATTTAACGAGGGGAGTTGCGACCTCTCACGGTTTACTTAAGCCAGTCCTTCGTGCGCTCCCTCTGCGGCACGGAGTGCTGTCAGGTGACCCCTTCCAGCAATCGCTCGCCCTCTGCACCGTGGCTTCTGGCCACTCGTAACTTACCCAGGTCCAAGTGCATGCCCAGCAGCAGCCGGAAGGGCTTGGGCACCACAATGGTCGTGTTCCCAAAGTTGGTGAAGTAAACCATGAGCAGCGGCAGGGAAGCCATGGTAGGAAGAAGGAGCTTGTGGCGCCAGCGTAGGTTCAGAACGTCATCTGCAAAGCCCAGGAAGATCATGCAGCAGATGGCCAGAAGGGAACCGATGAGCTCCACGAACTGTGGGACACAGCACAGGACCCCGATTACCAGTGGCGGCTCCCTGCCGGTGCCCGCCGCCCTCGGCACCGGGCACACCTCACCTCGTCGTGAGGAAAGGCTGCGCACTGCTCCTCCACGAAGCACCTCAGGAAGGGCACGGGGATGAAGCAGAAGAGGATGATCAGGAACACGGCCCCGCTGATCACGCCTTGTGCTTCGGGGCTGATTGAGAGGAAGGCAAGGGGGCGGGGGGGGAGGAGGTCAGCTCGGCCGGGGCCGGGGCCGGTCCGGCCCTGCGGCGCACAGTTCAGTGGGGCAGCGGTACTCACACGGGCCGCCGTGAGGCCTTGTTGAGGTCCACGCCGAAAAGCCGCGCGGCGAGGAAGTGGTCCTCGAAGGCGGGGATCAGCGTGAGCGTGGCCACGAAGCCTAGCAGCGACCCGCCGAGGTTGATGAGGAGGGGCACGGCGGGCCAGGGCGCCATGTCCGCGGCGGGCGCCGATCCCTCCGCCTGCGTGTTTCCAGCCGGACGCTAGAGAGGGGGCACCGGATGCGAGGGTCCCCCGATCTTTGACGCTGGCATAAAACCGGTTGCTGGGGGGGGGGGGGCTCTGTTCGGGCACCCGCCGGGGCCGGTAGCGCTGAGCGCGCGCGTAGGCGCCTCTGGCCGGATCTGCGCATGCTCGAGGCGAAGCTCTCGGGACGGGAAGGGGCGCTGGCCCTGGCCTGGGGGCGGGCCCCGCGGCAGGCTCCGCCCCGCCGCGCCCTCAGCAGTCCGCCCTAGGGACGTCACTTCCTTGCGCGCGCGGAGGGGAGCGGGCAGGGGCGGGGGGCGCGCGGGGCTCCCCTCGCGGCAGCCGGCACCGCGTTTTGGGCGGGTCTGGGGAGCGGCGCTTGCCCGGGACAGCCGGCCGCCCCCGGGCAGCGCGGCCGCCGAGCTCGGCTCGGTAGCGGTCGGGACGGGGAGCCGGGTCGCGGGGGAGGGGGGAGCGCTCCCGCGTCTAGGGCTGGCGGGGTGCGCGAGAGCGGAAAACGGAGCGGCCGCCGGTTTCGTCGCCTTACGCCTTGCCGTAGCCGTCGGAAAAACCCAATAAAACGTCTTCCTCGAGATGCTCGATTACCACGAAATCTCTAACAACTGCTGAACCCTCAGGGGGTTATTTCTGCGGGGAGGGGGAGGAAGGCGCGGTAGGCACCGTTTCTGTCTGTAGACGTCGCGTTCGGGTGTGAGTCTCGGGGGGGGCAGAGGGGGGAAGCGGCAGGAGTTGCGGTAGCAGCAGTAAGTGCTTTTCCGTGCCTCGCACCTGTTTAAAGCGGGGTCTGGTGACCCGAGATGGTTTCCGATGGCTTTTGCTGTGCTGCCTGGAGAGCTGCTGATGTGCTAGAGAGGCCGCCTCTGCTCTGCTGCTCGGTGAACTTCTGGAAAAAATGACTTTGTAAACTTTAACCGAGTCTTAAAGGAACCTAGAGGCCAGTGAGTTTTGCTGCTAGGGAGAAAAGTGCGGCGCAGAAGAGGCGGGGGGGGCGGGCATGCGGTTGGCCGGGGACCCCGCGGCTCTGGCAGCGGGGAATTGCTACCGGTCGGCCGCTGTTACCTTTGGATTGTGACCAATCGTCGTGAGAAGAGGCTGTCGAAACTCGCGCTGCCTGCCCTCTGCAGCGAGGGTGGCCCAAGCTGCGAGCGGGCCGGGGAAGGGATCCCCCGGGGTGGTGCGTCCTGCGGGCCGAGCGCGAGGAGCGCAGTTACTGCCGGTGAAAAAGCGTGACGTTACGCGGCCGGCGTTTTTAACCGGCGCTCGGCCGGGCGGCGGGGAGCTGGATTTCCAGACCGCCAGAAGTAAAGGCTGGGGCGGCCACGTCGGCGGGGTTGCCGGGGTGGGCGGACGCCGCCGAGGCCGCGCAGGTGCCGGGGGTTGCGGCGCGGGCGCGGGCCGGCGTGCGGATCCGGGCGGTGGAGCGGAGCGGAGCGCCGGGGGTCGGGGCGGGGGGGGGGCGCCGCGCGCGGGCCCGGGCTGCGGCGGCGCGCGGCAGGGGCTGGGCCGGGCCCACGTGCGCCGCGGGGCCGGGGGGAGGGCGGCGGCGCGGCCGCCCTTCCTCCCCCCTCCCTCGGTGGGAGGTGGCAGCGGCCGGGGCCGGGCGGCGGGCCGGCCGCCATGCCTGCCGGGCCGCCGTGAGTCGCTCTGCGCGGCGCCATGGGGCCGCCGGATCCGGGCTGGGCCGCGCTGGTGCTGCTCTTCGCCGCCTCGCTGCTCACGGTCGCGGCCTGGCTGCTTCAGTACTGGCGTTCCGCGGCTCTGCGGGCGCCGCGGCGGCGCGGGGCGGTGGCGGAGGAGGCCGGGGCCCGGGCGCTGCTCGCCGCGCTGCTCGCCCTCCGGTCCCTCCGGGAGCAGTGGCAGAGGGCCTGGGTGCGAGCCCTCAACAGCCAGGCGCGCCGGCACGGGGTACGGCCGGGCCCGGGCGGGCGGGGGCGGGCGCCGCGGGGAGGGGGAGCGGCGGCAGCTTCTGGGCGGGCGGCCCTTCTGCGCTTTGTTCTCGGGTTCCGGGGAAGTCTTCCCGGCCGGGCGCCGTCGGGGACTGCGAGGTCCTGGCCGCAGGGAGCCGGCAGAGGCGCGGGGAGCCCGCGTCGCTTTTGGAGCAGGTTTGCGCGGACCTGGAGGCACGGGAGCGGAACCCCTCGTGAGTGTCCCGCGTCGTGGAAGCGCCGCAGGGCGGGTGTCGGGCAGCACCCAGTTAAAGGAGGTTTGGGACGCGAGCCTGACTCGGGTGTGATGAAAGCCAATCCGAGGTTGCCTCTTGCGAATGCTCGGGTGTTCCTTCCCTTTGATCTCTTAGCATAACCCTTGTATTGATACGGGGTTTTGAGGTTCGCGAAGGAGAAGGTGCCTTGCCGGTTCCGGGTGGAAAGAATTGCACAGTACTTCCCGTTGCCTGCAAGGCAAGGGCTTTCGCCCACAAGCTGGGGTCCAAAGTCGTCTCCGTTCTTTCTGTCGCGTGAAATGGAACGGGGAGCCTTTCTGTTAGGTTGCATGGGAAAATCAAGAGCTAAAAAAACTTAGCGTGAAGCTAAGGTGTTTGAAGAAAAGGACATCGAAGTGTTGACGAACGCGACGCGAACTTGCGTTTGAGTTTTCCGACGAGAGCGGAAAGGTCCCTTCCCTTTTGAGAAAAGGCGAGGTAAATTCTGGACTAGAGGCAGGACAGAAAAACGGATCTCTCTGTGCAGCACAGCCACGTGGGAAAAATCTGGCAATTGGCGACGGTGGGGAGGAACGAGTAATGATTTCTCGTTCTTGCCCCCGCCCCAACCGTTGCTGGTTGTATGGACTTAATAGGCTTTGTAAAGTCTAATCTCATAGGCGAGGTCGTGACTTGGGCTCCTTTTTGCGCAGCAGTTTTTCCTGTATACCTTCCGCAGCTCGTCGTTGCTCTGTTTTTTCCTTTGCCTCTGTGTAGTCCCCTGATAGTAACGTGCTGGGAGGAGATGAAGAAATTGGGTCTTTGAGGAAGGCGACCTAGGAAGAGACGTTTGCTTTTGTTGCGTGTCGCCTGCACGGTACCTGTCTTCTCCCGAGGAGGTCCTTTTCGGTTACGGGGCGTGTAAGTTGCGCCCGTGCGATACAGCCGTGTGGATAAGGGCCGCAAAACCTGACCGAGTGTCCTCTGCAGTTTGACCGAAGGAGGGCTTCGCTGACTTGATCAGCGAGCATGAGGCGGTTCAGTTTTGGCCTTCTGTTTTCCTGTGTAGAGCAGATAGTGCGGTCTAGCGTCTTGAGAGTGGGAGGGTTAATAAGGCTCATTGAGCAGTTATGCTTGAAAGTAACTGCATACGACGGAACGAATGGGGATGGCGTAGGTCGAGCGCGGTGTTCTTGAAGTTCTGTAGTTCTTCCTTGTAGCGGAGCAGACCCTTTTTTGGAAGGATTTAATTGAAGGATCTCCAAAGCGCCGAGCGAGGGCTGTGTTGATTTTCAGACGACAGTTGCCTCTTGGCATTTGGAAGTGCGAAGGGACCGGAATAGGATACAGGTGCATAATGAGCCACCTTGGCGTTCTTTTTCCATGCTTGGACCGGGAATGTTTTTGTTTTACTGGTGTCAGGCGCCGTAGGGCAGCGAGTCTTTAAAAATACTGCCCGTTGCTCCTTTTGAAAGGATGTATGAAGTCGGCTGGGACCAGGTAATGGGGCTTTAGAGCGCAGGCTGTTACAGGTTTTGTAAAGAGACCCGTAGCTGGTACTACTTGGAGCCGGTACCCTGTCCGGTGGCTGTGTGGGAACGGTGAGTTTTCTGTGAGACTTTGTTGTCTGTCCCTCCTACGAGGGGTTACTGTTTGGGAGAGAGGCGTGTCTGGAGGCGAGTTTTGTTCTCGCGAGAAACAGAGAAACAGAGTCAGCCTCGGAGAAACAGAGTCAGCCTCCGCGAGCGCTGTGCAGGTGTGAATGCAGATGGGCTGTCTGCGTAGGATTGTCTCCTCCTGCTGCCTGGCTGATGTCTTTACCTGCTAAATGATGACATCTGCCTCTTACGGGTGGATCGGGGAATGTACTCGTTTTGAACGTTACCTTTTTTAACGCTTGTCTCATGTGCGTTGTGCCTTCCTATTCTCAGGTGCGTCAGAGACTCTGCTCATGATGAGGCCGGCTGTCGCTTATTGCCACTGCTTTGGACGGAGAGGGTTCATTGGACCCGCCTCTCTGGTGCTCCCCGGCTAGTTTGTATTGTTTGCCTTTTGAAGAAAGCGGTTCTGGGGTTTTTTTGGTTTGTTTTTTTCCTTTCTTCCATGCATCGTGTTCAGTCCTTCGCTTTCCTACCGGAAGTTCTCTCTGCTCAGTGTGTGGTGTGACTTCTCACCTGCTCCTTTGCCTTGTTAGATGGGCTGGGAAAGGTTGGCATAGTTTCACCTTCGTTGCTCCTTAGGCTAAGTGAAATCGTCCTTTTTTAGCAACAATGTAGCGGCGCCCGGTCTGTCTTTCCTGCCTTAGATCTAGCTGGCTAGCATTTGAAAATGGGAAGGGAAGTTTGTAGCCCCATCCAGGCCCTGGTGGCATCCAAGGACGGAGTGTTTGAAGTTGTTTGTCGGCTTTAGGATGAGCTTATCCTCTGGCGGGCGTTCAAGAGATCGAGTGCTCTGTTCCCAAGAGGTTTGCGAAAAAATGGGTCTTTGCGCAAAGGTGCGGTTGATCTGCCTGACACAGGGATAAAGATCGAGGTAACTGTCAAACCGTAAGCCGTGCTTGCTTTTGCAAGTTTGGCCGTTCCTTCTCCAGTGATTCTTTGTCTTTTAGTTGCCTTTATTATCGTTGGTCGCTTGCACCTAATTGTTCCGAAACGGGGTCAGAAGTTGTCATGGCGGGGGGGAGGGGGGATGATGGAAGGAGGGCAGGCGGGCGGAGGAAATCAACCGGCCCCGTTGTTGTGTTCACGTCCCATTTCTTGGACTGGTTACTTGGAACGAGTTCAGAAACCTTCGTCGTACTCTAAGAGAGCTACAAACCAGTGCCTTAGGTAGACCGAGGGCAGGAGGAGGAGTCCAGAGTGCGGGCCTGACTCCTCTGAGAGAAGGCAGGACCGATGACCAGTAGCGGCCTAACGAGCGCTAACTGGGCTACGGTCTTGACCTTATGGGATGGGGTACGAGAAGAATGAGAGGGTGGTGCTAGTACGAGCTGGCTGTGGGACTGCCTGCTGCAGGCTGCTGGACATGGATCTTTTGTCTGGAACGAAACGAGACTAGATTATGTACTGTAAGATTCCGCTCTTGGTAGTTATACTGCGTAAGGCCTGAGAAACTTGACCTGGTGTTTAACGAGTCAGCTGGTAAAGTTCTTCCTTCCAGCTGCCTCCATTCCTTTCTCCTTCCCTCCCTCCCTCCTCCTCCTCTGCCTTCCCCCGTTCACGCGAATGGCCAGGTGCGATGTCGAACCCAAGACCCGCGTCCTGAAAAAGCGGTCCTTTTTGCTGTGGAAAACTCGCGAGTGTCGGGATACGCTCGGCTGCTGGACCCTACGGAAGCCGAAACCCCGCAGATCCTGCTGGTGTTGAACCCTCAAAGCGAGCTCGTTGCTTTGTGACCGAAAGTAAGTTGGTTCGGGTACCGTGCGTATTGGATTGAGGGGAGCCGCTGCCACGAGCGACGCTTGGCGGCTCCCCTGCGCTTGGCTCAGTACGGTGCTCGCACAGGGCCAGCCATGGCAACTGCTCCTTTTTATCGAGTCTAGACGGGAAGGTTGAGGGCTCTTCCCTGGGGCAGAGCATGTGCCGGCAGAGGCCTCTCCCTCGTTGGAGAGGGGACTCAGCAAGGGACCGAAAGGAGGCGCGAGACCGTTTGCGAAGCGTCTCCCCCCGTACAAGCGCGCCTTCTCCTTCTGTACCCCTCTCGTCAGAATGCCGCCGTTGTGGCAGTGGAGCGTCAGCGGCCGCTCATGTCCGATATGGCTCGCTCTTCCGTCACGTGCCGAATTCCTCAGAGTCTCACAAAACAACCCGAATTTCTAAGTTCCAGAAAGCAGGACTCTTGTAAGGAGATGATTAGCTGATGGCTGAAATGACACGGAGGCCCCCGGAGGGGGGGTGTCTTCGGGGTCAGAGCGTGCCAGTGCCTGAATTTGGGCGGATTCTGCTAGGAGCGTGATCCGAGGCAGTCGGCAGAGGGCGGATGACGGTCGGTCTGCCTCCCGGGCACGTTTAATTCTCACCACTGGTGCTCGAGAGAGCAGCTTCGGTCACAGGGTGTCACTTTTGTTTCAGAAGATCTTTAAATGTTGGCGGCTGGCATTTCATATTTCCCGTTTGGATCCCAGGTTACTTGCCTTGAAACGGGGCGAAGACTTGAAAGGAACTGAGTTGCTTCTCGTGCGCGTGTTGCTCTCCTTGTTACAGTTTTCTTCTTGTGCTTTCTCCCGCCTCGGGGTGCATGTGGATCCGTGCCACCTCGCTCATGCAGTTCGCTCCGAGCGGGCTGAGTAACGAGATCTTTTGAGGTTGGCCGGTGCCTCCCAGTTCGGTGAGAGTGTGACATATTGGGCAGAACCGGGCGACGGCTTGCTGCCGCCGATTATACGCTCGAGTTGCTGGGCAGAGGTTGCGGTCACGGAGAGAAAGGTTCCGATCTGATATTCTGGACTGACCCGGGTGGGCGAACACACGTGGCTCTGGTGGGGGAGGCTTGCGAGAAGAAACAACGGCAGGCGTTACTCGGGTGAAGCGGCAGGGAGTGACCTGATGTCGTTTCTCCATTAAGTCCTCCCGTTTTGAAGTTTGGTCACTGGGAGAGCTGCCTGGTGTCTGTGTTGAGAGGAGGGCGTGCGTCCAGGATAGCGTTGGATGGGCAAGCGGCTTTTCAGGTCGTTGTATGCGTGCTGGCCAGATCGGTGTCCGCGAGCCCCTTCCCTACCTCCTCCTGCCCATCACCCGGGTCGGTCTGTCGCCCGGAGGTGGCGGCACGCAGTCTCGTTCGCTTGAGAAAAAGAACGCGGTTTCCCACACCTTTATCCTCCCTCTTGGTCACCCTGGCCCTCAATCATAAGCGGCTTGGCAAACGGTCGCGTCCTTGCGCTCAGGTTGCCTGCTCGCTCTCGCTTTTTGCCCCGGTGAGGCGAGGGAATCTTTTGTGCGTAGCTTTTGTGCAGGGACACTCTTGACTCTTTATCTCGGTCTCGTATTTCTTGAGAAGGTTTCTCTGTGGAAAACTGGTCCCGTTGTGCAGGGAAATCCTCATGGGAAGAAGAGGGATGCTTCCGCGGCGGGGTTGCCATCTAATAAACCGGGAAACGGTGGAAAAAGGGAACTAATGGAGCACGGCGGCCGATGTATTCGTATGCTGAGGGTTGTCATAGGTTGTTTTTTTTTGTGTGTGGGGGTTGTGTTGGTTTTTTTTTTTTGTTTTGTTTTGTTTAGTTGTTTGCTTGTTTGTTTGTCTTCCTTGGGGCAGCATTAGCGCAGAGCTGGGAGAGAGAGCGAAAAGAAACAGCAAAGCTTCTGCTGTGAAGAGGGGGTAATGCGCTCGAGTTAAATCTGACCGCTGTCCAGAAAGATTTTCCATTCTCATTTGGGCTTGCCTGTCAGAAAGCGACGTGCTTGTGAGTCTAAGCCTTGCCCGGGTGGGTGGAATGGCAGTGTGTGGCGGCTCTGTGTGCTGGCTGCATTCGTGGAAACGGACCGAAACGTCTCTGGGGCCCCGGGTCTGAATCGGTTGTCCTCTTTGAAACTAGGTGGGATACCTTGACCGCTGGGAACTAACGGAGGTCTCTTTTTGTAGAGTTCGGTGCAGATCACGTTTGAAGAGGGTCTTCACTTACCACCGGCCACGAATATAAGTCGTGTGACGTGCAAGGGACAGTCGGACCGCAGCATGGTAAGGTCTTGCTGTTCTGAACTGTACGGTGTGGGGTTTCTCCGTCGACTGACGGCATGTTCTGTAGGGATTGCCGAGCCCTGCGCGATGGGGATGGTGGAACCGGGGAAGTTTTGGGCGAGGTCCATCGTCGGGTTCGGAGGCCTGTCGACAGGCTGCTGAGATTGCGGCTCTGTGGCTGTGCCTCGGCGAGCTCTGGGAAAGCGCCGCTGGGGGACGTGTTGGTGGAGCTGGGGCGTACGGCTGCAGAGCCTGAATACCGGTGACCTCCTCTCACCGATACGTCTTTACTGTCTCACATACGGAGTCTGAAATGGCAGGTTTGCGGTGCAGAACTGGCGCTGGCGCTAAGCCTGGTGTTTCTTTCTTGGCACGATGGGTCAGCCTTGTCTGTTGCTTTAGAGGTCACGCCCTCGCGCGGCTGTCTCGCTGAGGATATGAACTCTTCTCCTTCCTTTTTTCTCCAGGTGCTAAACTGCCATCTGTCAGCCGAAGCTGTGAAATTCCCCGTCTCTGTTACTCAGCAGTCCCCGGTCGCTGTTTCTGTGGACACCTATCACGTCACTTTGGCTGTGCGGCAGGCTCAGGTAACAGTTGTAAGAAGTCAGCCGTTGGAACTTGTCGTTTCACTCAGTCGTGGGAAGAGGAGCCGACTTAGGGCAGATAAAGGCCTCGTCGTGCCGGAAGAAGTGACGTGCCGTCAGTGACGTGTAGCGGAGGGGCAAATGTTCCCCAATCTGTGGGCCGAGTCCCGTTTTCTGAGTCTCGTTCTGCAGATCTTGGCTTCGTAACATCACCGTGACCAAATCCGGAGAGATCCGAGACATGGCAGCGTTCTATGCTGTCTTTTCTTAAGCGGGCGTTTAAGAAGCGAAGGGTTTGCAGAGTTCAATTCCCCTCGTGGTGTGACGGATAGGGAGGGGTGCATCCTGTGCGTATGTACGATGAGGGCATCGTCCCAGTTGTCGGTGTGAAAAAGGAATCCAGGATGAGGAGCGGTTTGCTTGTCGGTGCGTTTCCATTTACGGTAGTGTAATACTGATTTTCTTTTTCCTGCGTGTCGAACATTGGAGATCCTTCTTCCTGAACAGAAGCGCTCTTAAATCGCAGCGGGTGGTAATTCCGTAGTCATTTTCTGGTTGGATTCGCTTCCCTGGTATGTGGTTTTGTTCCCGACGCGAGGAAGGGGTTGAGGCTGGAGGCGGGTATCTCGCTTGGAGACCCTGCGCTCGTTTGTGCTATAGGGAGACGGGGTGAAATTAGAAGTAACGCTGCGGTAGCGGAGGCCGATCCCGTGCTGTTGCGGGTATTGCAGTTGGAAGGCTGTTGTAGAACCCCTTTGTTCTGAGGAGCTTTGTTAGACTTGTCAACCTCTGTTTATCGTATCGTCCCGGTTTGGTTTGGTGTGCCTCTGTTCTGCAGTCGCTTATCCGGCTTCTCTCTCTCTCTCTCTCTCCCCCTCTCTCTCGCTCTGCGGCGTCTAGTGTCCCTGCTGCCGATCTAGTTGTGGGCGGCAACTGTCGTCGCTTTTAGTCTCTGCCTAGTCCCTGGGAGCGAGGTGGCCCGTGTCGCATCTCACCAAGTGGCTTCTCGACTCGCTGGCATTTTCTAGGTCTCCTTCTCTGCGCCTGCTGAAGTTTTGGGTCGATTGTCCTTGCGTGGAATTGCGTGTGGTATTCTAACTGAGGTCTCGCGGCTGCGTGGTGAAGTGCCGGTAAGGTTACCGTGCGCCTGTTGGTCTGAATACTTCAAGTGTGGGATTCCCAAACGTGCCTTGCCTCTCTTGGGTGCCTCTGGTTGGTTGCTTACCTGGCTGCCGTGTCCCGGATCTGTCGCCTTTGACTCGATGACTTTCTGCTTCTCTGGTAAATAAATGTCGGTCTATCGATTCTTTCAGAACGATGTTAAATTACCTTCCCCTGGTTTTAGTAGAGATACAGGGTCGGGAGTCCTTCCCATCTGGTTCCGTTTCCGTCCATCGCGTTGAGGATTCCTTTCGGGTGTGTGGGTGTGCAACTTTTCAACCGAGCTGCGGGACGGCATACGGTCTGGTTCCTCGTCGCGGACTACCGGTGACTTGGATGAGTTTTCAGTCGGAGGATGCTCTCCTAGGGACACGTTGCTAACCTAGAAATGGCCGTGCTTAGGTTTGGCGGTGGTTCATCGACGCAGGTCGGTGAACGTGCCGTGTCGGTGTCCAAGGTGCTCGTTTGGATTGTCTCGCAGGCTTTTTCTTCAGCCGAAGAAAAAAAATATACCGGTTTTCCCTCTGCTGGTATGTGGGCAACCGAAAGCAGCGGGGAAGCTGGATCTCGCTAGGGAGTGTCGAGGCTTCTGTGGCCGCTTCTTCCCGTAGGTCCAGGACCGCTCGCGTTCTTACGTTCCGTCTCGTACTGTTGCGCTGACGTGAGGGCCGTTCGGTTGCTGAATTTGAAGCGCGGCGAAAAGCACCTCACGGAAACAGAAACTGTTCCTCACTGTGGGTATTTGTTATGGGCCAGGTGGAGATCCGCTTGGAGGAGATACAGAACGAAGGCCTCCTGGTGTCGTGGACGTTCAAGGACAGGCCGGACTTGAACCTTTCGGTTCTTCCGAGGCTTCAGCTTCCCGAGGTGAGTGGCCAATGGCGGGAGGCTGGACTTGAGCGGAGGAAGGGCGGGAGGGGCGGAAAGGGTGCCGAGCCAAGAGGAAGGCTGCTGCGGAGGGGAGAGGTTGGTGACTCGCTGTCGTGGCCCTTCAGGGTGAGGGAGGGGGACCCTTTCGCTCTGGAATCGATACTAGCTCGCCTCTGTCAAAACGGCGCATCCTCAGGAGGCCCGGAGCAGTGCCGATGCCTGTTTTCCAGAGCTCGGTGTAACGCCCGAGTGGGCTTCTGCCTCGCAAAAAAGGCTTTCTGTCTCCGTAGGTCCTCCTGCGTTTTTGAGATGTAGAGCGGCAAAATGAGCCGGCTTGGCTCGTGGGTATTTTTGTTTCTTTGTTGTTGTTGCTGTCGTCTGTTTGTTTGTTTGTTTTGCTTGGAGTTTTTTTCGAGAGGTTAGTGTGGGGCCCCCCGCGGGTATAGGAAGTTGAATAAGCCGAACGTGGGCATGCTCGCTCTTCCGCCACCCGAACGGGTTGGTTGATTTCTTTTATTGACGCCCCCGTCGCTTTCTGCTGAGTAGATAAAGGAGTTTGGCCGTTCTCACGAAAGCGCCGTAGTACTGTCTCGAGAGGTGGCGAGGAACTGGGGAGTTGCAAAAGCTGTGTCCTCAACATTGGCGACGGGTAGCCTGCGGGTGCAGGGGCTTAGTTTGCCTCCTTTAGGCATCTCGCGTTTGCCCGCAGCTGTCAGACGGAAGCTTTGAGCGATGCGGAGGGCGAATACGGGAGATGGGAAGAGTACTTGGGAGGTTGTCAGGGGGAGGACCGCGTAGCATCTTAGCGGCTTGAGAGGCAGTTGGAGCTGTAGCAAGAGAAAATGCATCTGCTTGGTTATGACATTCCCGCGTTTCCTCTTGATTTGCGGAGAGAAGAACGAAGGGAGAGCGGATCTGTCCACTGTAAAGGATCTGATCGAGGATACCGTTGTCAGCACGCAGCCGGCCATGATGGTGAATCTGAAGGCCTGCGCCGCTGGAGTCGGTATGGTAAGGCGCTCTCCTTGTGTCATTCTTGCGCCTCGAACGCTGCGCCCCGGGACACTTCCGAGGGCTGAGACTCAGGCGGGAATCTGAGGGTTGAGACTCGCTCCTGGGTGACGGCCGCATCCTGGCCTGTGCTGAAGCGGCAGTCGGGGTACCGTGGTGCCGGCAGTGGGTGTAATTAGAAACCGCTCCGACGGGCGGCTCTCTTTGTACCTCATTTCCTGAATGCCACGTATCGGTTGCGTTGAGGCAGAGCCAGACTGCCGGAGATGCGTCTGTGTTTTGGCAGTCTCTCTGTCGCTCTGAACGCTGGGGCTCGGTCTGGGGCAGCCTTGACGGGCACGGAACGGTCTGTGGTGTGTTGTCTTCAGCTGTCCGTGAGGCAGCCGGCGAGCTCGCTGTCGTCTGTCTCTCTTCCCATCTGCCTTAAGGTTCCCTTCTGAAATAAGGAGGGGGGCCGGCGGAGGTCGACAGAGCTCGGGGAACCCGAAGCGTCTCTCTATAGTTCTGCGGGAACTCCCTGACGTCGGTGCGAGGACCTGCTTAGCAGATGCAGAGACGAACGTCTTGCTGCGGTCTGCTGGCGAGGGAACGGTAAAAGCGTTGGTCTCGCTCTCGTTACTCCTCAGGTACCCTGCAGTAAGTTGACGCGAGAGTCCCCGTCTGCGGTAGCGGCAGCCCCTCTGGGTTCTAAGCTGTTGCTCCGGAATCTTCGGGTGCTGAACTTGGGCTGCCAGGGCAAGGGAGGTAAGCGTCAAAACACGGCTGATTGGCAACAGGCAAAGGTGCGCGTGGAGATTTTGGGTGGGTTTGAGTGGAAAAGGGACGTGCGTCCACCGAGCCGCTGCCTCGTGTAGACGAGCGCCCGCCTACGCTCTGTAATTCTGCCGCAGGACTTGGGGGGATACGCTGCGTGGCAGAACTGGACAGCCCCCCGCAGCAGAAGCGGACGAGGCCGGTGACGGCTGCCGGTGCCGCAGCAGAGATGGAGTGGACCGAGGAGCTCTTCCTGTAAGTGTCCGCCCGCCTTTCAGCTGGCACGGTGGGGGCAGACCGGCGCGGTCTCCGTCAGAAGCCCGCACCGCAGGGCAGCGTGTGCTTGCGTGGCCTGCGTGACAAGCTACCCATTCCATCGGCTGGCCCCAGCTTGCGTGTGTGTTTCCCGCTCCCCTGGATGCTCCGTGTTTTGAAGTGGATGGGCGGGGGGCGTGTGGGAGCGGTGGGTGCAGAAGGCCCGGAGCGTAAGTCTCGGCCCCCCGGACAGATGGCCCTCTCCACTTGCTCTGTCGGCCTACGCAGTCCTGTGGGGGACGTGAGCCGGAGTTCCTTTCTTCTGAGTAGCTTACTGCCCCTCGTCACGTTCTCCAAATTAGCACACGTATATTGGAGCTTTGGAAAAGGTGACGAGGCGTGTGGGATCCGAGGGAGGGAATGCATGGACCGGGGTCGTTTGCTCCGTGGCCATTCCGCGAAGGCTGCCTAATACCAGCCCGTCTCGTTCTGTTTCAACAGGGACTTGGGACCTAGAAGTAAAGAGCTGAAGCTACAGGTGCTGGGGAACAGCGATGGAGGCGAAAGTGAGTACGGGCAGCCGTAAAATGCATCTTAAGACGGGGAGACAAAAGTGCCTGAGGGACTTCCTTCCGCTTTGAGCCTGCAATAGTTCTGCGTCGGTAGGACGCGTGATGAACTTGGCGAAAGATTTTTTGTGTCTGGCTTTACGTGAGCCTCTCGCTGCTCTGGAGCCCGTTCTTCTTAGCCAAAAGCCCTCACTCTGGCCTTTTCAGTGCCCGGGAGGTTGCCGTGGCCCGCCCGTCTCCGCCGAGGTGGGGAGAGGGATGCCGGGATTTGTCCCCGTGTATCGGCAGAACGTTGCGGGAGGCTCTTAAGGCTGTTCATTTCTACTCGGTCAGGAACTAACTGTGGCGCCTCTTTTTGATGGAGGCCACGCAATGGCCGACTCTTTAAGGGAATCGATTTCCGGAAGGGTAACGAGGAACTGGGGGAGTGCTGCCCGCCCCCTCCCCGCCTCCCACCCGGGAGCTACCGGTGTTGTGGTGGTCCGCTGCACGGGCCCGCGGGGCCGCTGCCCAAAAGCGGGGATTGCCTGGGAGACATCTGAGGTGCTGAGGTCCTGTGGTGTGTCGTGTTTTCCTGTTCCTACTCGCAGACGTGCTGCTGGCGCGCGCCACGCTTCCGCTTGATTCTTTGGGCAAACGGCCATCTGGGAGACGGGTCTGCGCGCTGGCTCCGGGAGCCGGGCGGTCGCTGGCGGCCGAAGCTACCATTACGTTGGAGGTGAGCTCGCGATTCCGTAAGCTCGGCGCAAAGGCATGTTCTGGAAGCGTTCTCTGTGCGAGCCTGTAGCCGGGACGAGCGTGATCGGGCCTGGGCTCGTCGCGGGGGACCGGCAGACCCTTAGGGGCCTCCCTCCGTTCAACCGACGGCGCGGAGGGGGTGGCTTCTCGGTGCCCAGAGCCGTAGCTTTTGTCACCCGTACGCCTGCCTTTCCGTCTGGGAGGAGGAGTGTCTCTCTCCTCTCTGAGCTGTGCTTTACTCCCTTGTAGCTGCTCTTCCAAGAGTCCCCCGCATCGCTGAATGCTCGGCACGCCGCGTCTCTGAGAACCAGCATCACCCCCACGAAGAAGGTGGAGATGGACCGGACCGTCATGCCCGATGGCACCATTGTGACTACCGTCACCACGATTCAGTCCCGGCCCAAGGCAGACTGCAAACTGGGTGAGGCTGCCGCGCGACCGGCGTCTTGCACGGGCGGCCGCCACGGGGGCGCACGCTCAGCCGCGATATTCCCGGGGCTGCTCTCGCGGGTGGTAGCAAAGCCATCCAGCCGCTGCGTGTTGCGGTCGTCGCGGACTGGGACCTCGCACGGCGCTGTTGACTTTGGGCTCGGAATGTGGGTGTCGCGGCCGTTCCCTTAGCGTCTCGCCGCAGGGAATTGCTGCAGCCCCGTGTTTGGGGGCTGGCGAGAGAGGGACAAGACTCTGGGTCGCCCTTTGGCGGCGGGAGGTCCGGACGCTGCGTACGCCGCCACATAACATCTGCGTGACGTCGGGCTGCGCGTTGTGCCGCGCCCGCTCTTTATTTTCTGCGCCGCTGGAGAAATTGGGCTGTGTGTACCAAACGCAGAGCCGAAAGCACGTCGACCTCGCTTGCTCGCGGTTGTCGCTGCTTGCAGTCTGACATCCCGAGAAACACGGTGCTGTGGGTGTTCCATGGGGTGAGGCCGGGAAACGGCACGAATGGGGTCTTGCGACGGGGCTGCCTCACGTGTCTTTTCTCCAAGAGACTTCTCACCGTTTTGTTGCCGCAAAGCCTCGCGGAGCCAGCCTCTGCAAGCCCTCTGTGCGCGCTTGAGGCTTGCCGGGGGTTTGCGTGGTGGGCCACGATACAGCAACGAGGTTGTCTAAGCTTCCTCTCCATTTACCGGTGTCTCTGTCTCTTTCGTTGTGAAGATTCGCCATCCAGGTCCCCTTCCAAGGTGGAAGTGACCGAAAAGAAGACAACGGTGCTTTTGGAGAGCGGCTGTCCCCCTGGCCCCTCGCCCAGTGGTAAGTGCTCGGTAACCTGAGGCTCTTACCAGAGCGACTGCGTTCCTTAGCCTTTCTGGGAGACCGGCGGTCTGAACGTGGGTCGTTTCACTCGTCTGCCTTTGCTGCAGAAGGGAATGTCCGAGTGCCCACGGGATGGGGGTGGGTGAAAGCAATTCCGCTCTGGCTAGCCGGTCTGTGACTCCGGGTGTTTCCTCGCTCGATGGGAACGGTCCAGGCTATCCGGACCCGAAGAGCTTTGCTCGCCCGGTACTCGGGGCTCTGATCGTCTCCGGGGCGCGGGGAGCTGTGGCCGGTGTGACGGTTTGTGGCTGTGGCTGCCCGCACTCTCGGGAGTCTTTGGAGGGCCTCGCGGAGCAGGAAGGGTATTCTAGTGATACCCCTGGTGGGAAATCAAACCTCTCGGGTGCCCGAGATTGCCGAGAGCTATACGGAGCGTCATTCCTTTGCTTCGTTCGGGCAAGCCCGTAACGAACGCCGCTCTCGACCTTCGTGCACGCGTAGTTGCCTATTACGAGTGTTGCGGTTGGCGAGCGGGCTCTTGCCCGCGCTGCAGGTCACTACCTCAAGCGTTGGTATCTTTCTTGGACTCAGGGGATAGCCGTGCGCCCAACGGCTTGGATCCAGTGGCTGAGACGGCGATCAGGCAGCTCACCGAGACGAATAACAAGCCCGCCAAGAAGACCCCGACGAAACGTAGCACGCTGATCATCTCAGGCGTTTCCAAGGTCTCTGGTAGTTAGGGGGCCGTGTTTCCGATTCGCAAGGTTGTTTCTAGGGATGCGTGAATGAAAGCGCCCTGTCCCGCAGACATTGGTGCGTGAGGGTTCCGGCACGGACAGCTCGCTCGGCAGAACCCTTTTGCCGCTTCCTTGCGGCTTGTCGCTGTTTCCCGGCAAGTGCCGAAGGTACCTTGCCTGTGCGCGGGGCAGCCGCCGAACAGGAGGCTGCTGCCGTACCTGGCTGGGAACCTGGTGGAGGATCTAAGGAGTTCTCTGTGGCCTTGCCTACGGGAGCGAGGGAGGCGCCACGGAGCGCTCTGGAATCAGCCGTGTTCCGGTATACGTCGGCAAAAGAGTGACGATTGCGCGTCGGTGCTCTCTAGTACCGACGATCAGAACTGGAGCATCCGTGTGTGGGTGTGAATGGAAAATTGGGAGACGAAGGCAATCCTTTAGGCCCTGTCTGTCTGACCTTCTACCTCCCCTCCAGGTACCTATTGCTCAAGACGAAATGGCACTTTCTCTGGGTTACGCCGCATCCCTGGAGGCCACGGTGTACGGGGATCCTGTGGCGGAGGACGCGGCTGACCGGATGCGCGGTCCTACAGAAGCGTCCCAGCTGCTGGAAACGTCGCCGTCGGTTCGAAGGGCCAGTCAGGAGCTGGATGAGACGACGCGATCAGACGTCTCCGAGAGGCCGTCGGTGGAAGACGTCGAGTCTGAAACTGGCTCCACGGGAGCCCTTGAGACCAGGAGCTTGAAAGATCACAAAGGTAAGGGTGAACTGCGAGACGGTAGCTCCGGTTAGCCCGTTGCGCTCGAGGACGAAGTGACGTCCCAGTCGCCCGCCCGAGCACGAGAGCTGCGGCTAGCTTTCGGCACGGTGAAGAGTGGCTTCTGCCAGGGTCTGGCGGAGCCTGCCTCTCTCCCGTGGTTCCTGTCGGAGCGGTTCAAAACTCCCCCATTCGCAAGCGCCCCGATTCCCGTGGCCTTCTTGGTTTCTGTGCTCTCTTAGATGGGAACCCTCTGCGGCACGTGCGTGCCCGAGCACCCGTTTTCTCTCCCCGGCCTCCGGGTCCACCGATCGGCCATGTGTCTGTAAATAAGGATTCCTTCTCTGAATTTGGCCGCCTCTGGCGCGGAAACGGAGGCTGGCCAGCAACGCGGATTGTATGGGCCTCGAGGCCTTCCCTCTTTCTCTGTTTGCGTCGAAGCGGCTAGCGTCTCTGACCTGTCGTGCCATAGGACGTTCACGCAAACTCTCCGCTTTTAAACGATGGAGCGGGCCTGCCCCAACCGAGCTGCTGCTCTGGACTTTCTGGGCTCGCGTTAACCGGGCGGATGGCGCACCTCGAATTGCCACGCCGGTGGCCACGCCGGTTTCTGCTAGCTACGAGCTACATATGTCGACGAGCGCGAGCTGAAATCTCGATCGCTCGCGATACCGCAGTGGGGGACAGGTTTCAGGGGGTCATGCCCTGGTCCGAGCAGGTACGGTTTGGTCCGTGACGGCCCCTTGTTCGCACGGGAGCGGGTAGGAAGGTGTGCGGCCCAGAGTCTCGAGAGACGTGGTGGGCGGGGAGGAGAAGGAAGGAAACAGAAAGCAGGCCCCCTCCGTAGGAAACAGCATTACGGCTTTGCACGGCGTGGAGGTTGCGGACATGCCTTTTTGCGTCCGTTCGGGGCTGACGGTGATCGGTGTCTCTGCCCCGTCCCCCGCCGCATGAGTCATGCGGAGCCGTTGCCGTTACTTGTCTCTGGCTTCGGGCCTCTCGCGAAACGGCGGGCAGCCGTTCTGGGGGACTTGCTGGCCGGCTAATCTGGGCGCCCTCGAGATGGCCCCATCCGAGAGGCCTTTTTCTTGCCGTGCGTTCCTCGCGGTGCCTCCACGTGCAGACGTTCGCCCTTGTTTTCCATTTGCGTGAGTCTTGGCTGTCTGTTGCGACTCTGCACGCTTCCGCTGAGGGGATGGCGTTGTTGCTCAAAAGGAGGTTTACGCGAGGGGAACGCCTGACGGCGTGCCTAGCAAAGCAGCTTGTCGGTATCGAGGTCTGCCCTGAACACGGGCTTTGCCTCGCGGCTGGGGTCTGGGGTTCGCTGACCTGCCGCGCGCTTTTGCCGATTGTCCCGGAGCGGCCGGGTGTGTTTATGGCCCAAAGACTTGAGAGGGCGGCATACTATCGTGGTTTCCGTCTCCTTTTCTGTCTCTGCAGTTAGCTTTCTTCGGAGCGGTACCAAGCTCATCTTCCGGAGAAGGAGCAAGCAGAAGGAAGCGGGCCTGAGCCAGTCGCACGACGACTTGTCCAACGTTACCGCCGGTTCTGCCGCCGGGAAGAAAGCCGGCAGCTTCTCCCGCCGCCTCATCGAGCGCTTCTCCTTCAAGTCTAAATCCAAACCCAAAGCTAGCGACGGCACGACGGCAGGTGAGAACTGAAGGAGGGAGAAGCCCGTCGGAAAGATTGCACAGAGCTCCTTTTCTAGTCTCTCGTCTTCCCGCTCCGCGGTATCTGTGACCTGCAGTCCGGTTCCTTCCCGCCTCGGCTGAGGGAAGACGCCCCGGTGCTGTCTGCCGTCCGGGGAGCGGAGGTGGCGAACCTGGAGCTTAGGCCGCTCATCCGCCTCGGCTCAGCCTTCTCTGACTGTCGTACCCCACTGTGCTCTCCCGCAAAATCCAGGTGGTGCGCTAATCCCTGGGGGGCTCCCAGGAGCTGCAGAAGTGACTCTGCCTGTGTGGCTGCGTGACCTTACCAGGGGCGTCCCGGGAAGCAGCGTTGGGGGGGATCTTGAGGCACAGCCCTCGGAGTTAAAGATTGAGAAACTACCGGGTTCGCTAAGTTGCCGAGAAGCGTGGGATTGTAGCCTCGCTCGGCTCTTCTGGTGACACAGAATGACGCGGTTGCTGGCCATCTACACGCTCGCGTTGCTTCCGCTCGGTGCAGAGGCCGTGACCTGACGGAGATGCAGGGTGGTACGGGGCGATGCGTTCCTGGGCTGTGAGCTGGCGGGAGAACGAGCCACGGGCCTCCACCCGGCTCTGCCGTTGGAACGGTCTTGGGTTTGGACAGTGCCGAGGGACGCGTGCTTTCTGTGCTATGCGGATGAAGGAAGGAGACTCCGAGAAGAAGGAATTTCTCGCTGCCGGGTGAGTGTTTGTAGAAGCCCGGGCCCTCGCAAGAATGTCTGGCTGGTGCCGCCACGCTGTGACGCAGCCCTCCTTTTGCGTCCCCGTTCTCGGACGGGGCCAGGGCCGTGCCGCACGCACGCCAGCCGTCGTACGAGTGGAACCCTTTCCCTCGGGGCAGTTTGGGGGCACTGCCGATGGGACGCCGGGCCGTCTTCCTTACCCGTGGAGTGCCCGGACTCTCGTGGCCTCGTGGTTCTTGCGCTGGGGACGGACGATGCTAGCGAAAGGGCGGTCTGACGTGGAGTCCGGTGAAGTCGCGTGGCGGAAAGAGGCAAGAGTTCCCGCGTTTGCACTGACGAAAAGGTTTCTTGCGGTAGAAGGAGCCTTTCTTGATTGCATCTGGTATTGCCTTTCTTCTGGCGAACCCGATCCACCGTGTTCAAACGGCGGGCGTTTCCGCGGCGTGTATTTGCAGAGGGAGAGGCGTGCGGGGGAAAATCGACTCCCTGCGCGGAAGGAGATCCCCCTTCCAGATGAATGGTTTTTCCGGTCTCCTGGCGCGTGAACGTTGCGGATGTCCCCAAAGGCCCCGGTTGGATAGTGTAACGCCTCTCTTTGGAGAAACGCTTGTGCCCCGTCGTCGTGCCTGGTTTGAACGGAAGCTCCTTCTCTCCTGCGGGCCGGACAGTTAAGGGAGATGGGACAGAGGGGAGGGAAAACCTCGCCAAAGAGCGATCGCCTGGCCCTGGCGGGATTTGCAAGCTCTGCTCTCCCGTTAAGGTATCTCCCGAGGTGGGGGCTGTCACCCCGCCGTATCCAGGATGCGACCGACTGGAAAATCGGTAGCTCTCTCGGCAGCGTGCGTAAAACAACATGTCGCCTTCTTCGGAAGGACGAATCTCGGCTGGTTGTTGCGTGCTGTTTCCGAAGACCGGTGTGTGTTCGATATGCCACTGCGAAAGGATTTTCGGGCAAGAATTTCGGGGTCTGTCTTTGAAAGTACAGGGAGGTAGGGAAGGCCAGAGTCGCCTGGGGCGCTTGGAGGGAAGGCGTTGGTGCGAGCCGGTGAGGGGGGACTCACTCCCGGGTTTCCTGGCAATTCGCCACAAGGTTGGGCCCGTGTGAGAAATTGGACCGGTCTGGCTGGCTGAACTTCTCCCCCTGTTTGGTTTGGTCTGGGTGTCTTTCTGGCCGTCCCTGAGCTCTTTCACGTCTTCTATCCTTTGTTTCTTTTGCCACCTGCGTGGTACAGTGGCTTCGTTCGCAGCTCTGTGCGCTGCGGATGTTGGCGCGCTCGCAGTTTCTCGCCGAAGATAGTGTTCCTCGATGTGAGCGATCAGTTCCTGCTGCGGCACCGGTGGATGTTGGCGATCTGCAGCTTGCCTCTGGCGATCCGGCTGCCGGAGCGAGGCGGCCCTTCCTTCGCGGGGTCGGTGCGATGTCGCACGTGGCGCCGTCCCTCGCGGGCACGCCCTTGCTCCCAAAGCCTCGGGGTTCGGTTCCGCTTTGGCGTTCTCCCTTGCACTGCCGTCCCCGCTACGACCACGCCTCCGTTACCGACGACGCGCGACGCTCTGCCTTTGGGCTTCGCTTATTCTTTTCCGATACCGTGTCCAGGTCGCTGTGAAGGAAAAGCGCTCGCCGAGCTCAGACAGCATCGCTTCTATAGCAGGACGGCCGTGAGACTTTGTGTCAGAAATGCCGGCGGCTCTTCATCTGCAGGTTTATGGCAGGACCTTCCCCAGATCCTCGTTTAGGAGTCCCGTATTCTTTTCTTTATACTGAGGGAGCAGCTCAAGCTGTCTTGGTGCAGAGCGGCTGGAGGCAAATGCCCGAGGCTCCCACCCGCACTTCCGAAGCGTGAATCGGGCTCGCGTACGCAAGGACGGCCGTGAGGGCTAGCGAGCGTTGTCCTCGTTGCTGTAGACCGGAGGCGAAAGAGGTGGGTGGGGTGTGTGTCCGACAAAGACGGACCTGGATTTTGACCGGAACAGTTTGGTCTGGCTCGGAGGAAGCTCGATAGGAAAGCTATCGAAACCAAACAGGAACGCAAGTTCCTCGCTGGCCTCGGGGATCAAGGATCCCTTTCTAGCTGCGTCAAATAGGCAATTGCTGCCACGTGTCCGCGGTCTTTCTCAAATTTATTCCCGGTTTGTTGGCTCTAGGCCACACCTGCCGATGAATCGCAGCAGAGGTGTGCTGTTTCTGATTGTGAGCTCTGACCCGGCGAAAGACTCGTCTGGGCATCTCCTGCACTGCGGTCCGTGGAATGAATGGAACAGGGGCCGCGTGACGCTTGGTGTGTGTTGTCCCTTGAATTTTTGGCAGTGCTTTTTAGCACGGGCAGCAGACCGCTATGAAAGGTCGTATCTGGTTCGGTAGCTTGCAGAGGAAAGGGATATCGTTGAGCGCTGACGGAGCATATCACTGGCACTGCTTGTGTTTCCTATCGGCGATGTACTGCCTGCCATTCCGTTGCTTCTCAAAGTGGTACGCTGTAGGACTGATACCGTAACCTTCTGACCCTCTCTGAAACGCTCTCTCTAAGCACGGACCGTTTCTTCGGGGTGTTTGCGTAAACGGTCGTCGGCAGGCCGTAGGGGTAAGGGGAACGGCTCGGGTGAGTGCACCGGGAGTTTTGTAGATCTGATACGCTCCCGATTAACGTGTCGATCCTTTCTCTTGGTATCCGTACGTGGCTCCTTTTCTTGCGTGCACGGTTGTTTTCGTCCCCCGAGTAGCAGGCAGCCGGTTTTGTTAGTCCTGGCTACGGAAGCACGGAGGACCCTCCCGCCTTCCCGTAGCTGACAACGGTAACGAATCCGCCTCATGGGGAAAGTGTCATCGTTGGCTCGAGAAAAGATTCTTCGATCCTAATCTTCTCAGAAGGAAAGGGACGGTCACATAGGTCTTTGCCTTTATGGCTTCTGTAAGCCAGAGCCCCGGGGAGTTTGCCCCGTAGGACCGCTGTCGAGAAATTCTCTTTTGTATTTCGGACAGAAGAAATGCCATTTGAAATGTACGTTGCCCCGTTTAACTTCTTCCAGATAGCCGTGCCCTCACCTCGGTGCCGGTGTGGGGTCCGTGGCATTTGGAAACGCCTGGGATCGCAGAGCAATGGTGTGCCCGGGTGCGTGATGCGGGCCGCCGTTGGACTTTCTAGACTGGAATGATCTGCGGTTGACAGGTTGCTGTCTCGGGGTAGGTTCGGTGTTTGCACCTTGTGAAATCGGTCCTTAACCGAATATGTGGGGGAGGAGGAGCGGCAGAGCGGCGGGCTTGAACCCGCGGAGGCTTCCGAAGGAGTTCAACCTGCTGATGAGGGCCCGTTCTCCGCACGCTGTGTTTTGCTGCCGGCTGTGCGGATAGAAACGGTGACTCGGTGATTGGGAAATGAAGCCAAAAGTATACATTTTGGGTTTGGGGCTGGTTGGTTTGTTGTTGTTTTGGTTGGGGTTTTTTTTGTTTGTTTGTTTGTTTTTGTTTTTTTTTTTTTCTAATTTATTTGGGGGTAGAGGAGGTGTGGTGTTGCGTGGGCATTGTTTTCCGTTGGTTTGCTGTGGGTTTTTTTGGGGGGGTGTGCTGTTTTGCGTTGGTGTTTTGTTTTGTTTTCTTTTGGTTTGGGGTTTTTCGTTTGTTTGTTTGGGTTTGGGTTTTGTTTTTGGCTATTTTGGCTGAACAGAGTTACCAGAACTTACCCGTGCTCTGTGTTTTTACTTCTCTGAAGAAAACAGATTTCTCTAGCCCTCGGTACACTTGTAAGTGTATTTCTGTCTAGATACATCCTCTTCCCGTGTTTCGGTAAGGTTTTTTAAGAGCCTCCCCGTTGAGAAAACTGTCGGTCTCGGCCCGCGAGGGGTGTCCTCTCGAGGTGAGAGAGAAAACAGGCACGGGAAGAAACGGAGAACTATAAAAGCTCAGTGATTTGGGTGGGCCGTAGGATCTGCTGCCACGGATGTCTGACGGAGGCTCGACGCCTGGAGAGGGTGTGCCGAGGCAGCGTACTCGAGGACGCAGGGATGGCGTGCGTGCACGGGTGTTGGCGCACACTCGTAATCGGTGTGCGCCCGGCGAATGCCGGTACCGGCCGCGCCACAAAGTGATTGAGGACGACGGGGCCGAGCGGTGGGTCGGGAGGGCGGCTCCCCCGGCTTCTGTTTCGTCTGCAAAATAGTTCTGCCGCAGCCCTCTGCGGGGCAGAGTCGAGCAAGCGAGTCCAACCTCTGCCCCCGCGAGCACCCTCACACTGCTTATGCAGTCGAGGATGGAGTTTTCGGCAGACTGGCTGAAGTCGGGGACGATGAGGGAGGGGCTACTCGGGCTAGTCAGAAAACGGGTCAGGGCCAGGGGCCGTAACGAACGCTTCTTCAAAGCGATGGAGGATGACCACGGGCACGCGCTGTTTCTCGAGTAGAACCGGGTGCGTGGCAAAGCGTAAGCTTGCAGGTGGTTTTGTTCCGCTTTTCTGTCTTAAGTGGTGCCGCTTCCTTCCTGTGACAGCTTCTCTCGGTTCGTCGATCGCTGCGCCTACGGAGAAGTAATTTCTGGGTCGCTGGTGAGATGCTTGAATGCTGGGTGGCTTGCGTCTGCTTGTTTTGGGGTCTTTTGCACCGTTCTCCCCTGCCACCTCCTGGGTCACGGCGAGCGTCACGGTAGAGTAACAATCCTAGTGGCGGTCCAACTTTGGAAACGGTCTTTGTGTCCTTGTGGTATCGCGGCTCCTTCTACAGCCATGACTGCTCCACGCCGCCTTTCCTCGCTCGTACGGGTACTGGACCGAATACCCATGCTGAATTTGAATTAGCGCCCCTCCTCGTGCGTGCTCTTTTGTACCTTGATGCCTTCTCTCTGGGTGGATTATTTTAACCCCGGATTGTTCAGAGGAGGGAAAAGGAGGCGGGGGGGGGGGGGGGGGGGGGGGGGGAAAAAAAAGGGGGAAACTGTGTAGCTATTCATGAGAAAAGAATGAAATGACTTAATTTGGACTAAATGAACTTCTTGCACCTTTGTAAATGTCGAAGAAGAATTCCATTGCTGTGTAATGGCTGAATCTGTTAACTTATTAAACCACGTGGAAATCGAAACCTGACCCCGCGTCTGACTTTGTACCCGCTGGAGGGCAGCGAGCGGTGGGCTGTGGTGTCTCTAAGGTTGGGGAGGTAGTCGATTTGTAGCCCTCTTGTGTCAGACTCGTCTCTGAAGAGCCCTTCTTCCCAGCTGCAGATACGCCGATCTACAGTCCGTAAGAGCGGGGCGAGGGCTGCGTAGCCTTTGCGGTGCTTCTGGGAGGCGAGCGATGGTTCGCGAGGCGATGACGGCAGCCCCGGAAGGCGTGAGCGTCGCCGAAACATCTGGCCGACGCCGGACCTGGGGCGGTGCTCCCCCCGAGAGTCGGGCGCGACTTACCGGGGCGCCCTCGCCAGCGCCCGCTTCGGCGTTTTCTTCTCCCCGAGCCTGCTCTGCTTGTCCTCGGGGTCTCGGTCGTGCTTCGTGGCAGCGCCTACACTTCCAGCCGCACAATCCAGGTAGGCCGGAGAGGCGGTGGCCGCGCGTTTCCGCTCCGGGACGGGCTCGTCCCGCGGGGCGGCAGGCGGCCGGCACGCGGGCGTTGCTCCCCGGGACGGGGCGGGGGCTGGTGTCCCACGTGGCTCCAGGAGCCCGAGCCGCCGTCCGACCGCCTTGTGAGCCGCAGCGGGGCTGGACGCCGCCGGGAGGCTGCCGCCGCCCGGTGCCCGGCAGCGGGGCTGCCGGGGAGCTCGCCGCTGCCGGGGGCCGCGCACGCGCAGTGCCGCCGAACGCTCACTGCTGCCACCGTGCGACGGGGGCCGGGTACTGCAGGTCAGCGCTCGCGCATGTGCACGCCCCGCGAGCCGCTTCCGGCCCCGCCGGAGCGCCGTCGCCGCCCGGCGCATGCGCGGAGCCCGGGAGCAGCAGGGAAAAGTAGAAAAGATGCATCATACTGTAAAAAAGACAAATTAGTAAAATATGTCAAGAGACTAAATTGAAGTGGCCTCAGGCGCTCCCATTAGCATTGTTGCACATTAGGGTAGAGCCCCGAAGCGGGATGTTAGTCAGCCCCTACGAATTGATGTATGGAAAACCATATGGGACCCCTGAACCTAATCCAAATATGCATATAACAGGAAAACAAGATGTATATAATTATTTGCTTTCTCTTGGAAGAACTTTAGCTAAGCTCCGGAGTGCGGCAGTGTGGAATCGACCCCGGGCTCGGTAAAATCCAGTACGCGACTTTCAACCTTTCTGGAGACTACGTCTACATAAAGACCTGGACAACGGAACCCTTGCAAGGAAGCTGAATCAGCTGCTTGGGTCCACTACACCAGAGTGAAGAAAGCACCGTCTCCAAAGCGGAGAGGGATTGGAAATCCAGGGACCTTAAAAGTGACTTTGAAGTGTGAATAATTGCCTGAACCTTGTCTTTCTGTTGGTCTTGCAGTCTGAGATGGTGGAAACGTGGACAAAGGAACAATCGTTGTCAGGCCAAGCACAGGTTGATACAGGGCCTAGATAGGAACAGGGGATGTAAGGGTTAACATGGGAATAGCAAGAAGGGGATGACAAGGGAAAATAGTTGAGATAACAGTTCAAGGGAAATAGTTTAGATAACGGTTAACAGTTCTGCTTAATGAGTAGATAGTTTGTAAAACATGATGAGCTGAGGTATGGGGTCTTTAGGCTTTATCAGTACAAAGCCGGTTGGAACTAGACCTACGGTTTGGACAACAGCCAGTAAGAGACTGAGTCTGCGCGAAACCTGGGGTCACAGAGCGGACAGGAGGAAGAGGAGCTTGACTTCATCCCCAAAGACCCCCACGACCACCACCAGAAGACACTGCGCAGACTCAACTGGGAGGAGATTATGGAAATGCTAATTATAATACGAAGCGGGGATAGGTAATGCATATGTATAGGCGTATTGCAAAATATTATGAATATGTAATCATTCGCTCTATAAATCTAAGGTAACGGTACCCCACGTTGGGTACACAATAGGAGGAGTTATCCCCTGTGTACCTCAGCGCTGAATAAACATACCTACTTTACAATCTATCAGATTGTGGAGTCTGTTTCCGCACGTCAGTTTTGGCGAGCCAGCCAGGAGACTCTCTGCTCGACTACGGGATCGACTGCGGGGCGGACTCTCCCAGGCGCGCCCCGAGCACTTTCCTCGGAGGAGCCTCCGCTACCAGCCGCTCACCGTGGGGGGCAGACAAGGACTTCCTGAAGCCGCGGACTAAACGGTATGTTTAAGGATAGGAGCCTGTAAGTCGTACGCGTGGCTGGGGCAGCTGGTAAATCGCACAGAGACGTCTGGCGTGCAGCTAAGCCGGGTAGGTGCACCGAAAAGGCGCGAATTCGTGCGGGTTAGGGGAGTCTAGGGGGCAATTATACCTTGCCACAGACCGATAGAGCGGTCGCTGGCTCCAATCGGGGACCTGTTGGCCGAGAGGGCGGCCACAGGCAAGAGTGATTGAAAAGGCCTTTGTTCTGTTGTGTTTTTTTTTACTCCTGATGAAAGTGTTGTAAGTGTGTGGACTTGTAAGTGTGTGGACGTCCGTGAGATTGTGAGATTGTGAGTGAATGCTGTGTGGTGATTGTGTTAAGTGTGAGCGTTTGGAGTGAGTGTTTTACAAAAACAAGATGGGTAATACTCAGGGAGGGATATTAAAAAAGAGCCCTCTCGGCTGTATACTCGCCCATTGGCGGGATATTGCAGGGAGCGGAGGTACGGAAAGCAGAAGGACTCTTATAAAATATTGCAATCAGTGGTGGCCGCTGTATAAGCTAGAGGATGGCGCTAAATGGCCGCTTAATGGAACACTGGACTATAACACTCTGTTACAACTTATGTTGTTTATAAGGAGAGAAGGAAAATGGGATGAGGTATCATACGCGGATATGTTTTTCACTTTGCGAAATCACCCAGAGTGGCAAAGGGACTGTGGGTTAGTACCCCCACAGGACCCTATGGTGCTCGCACTTGAACGAGAAAGTAAGGAAAGTAGGGGTAAGCTGAAAAGGTGTTGCTCATCATGTAGCATTGGACAGAGATGTACGAAGGTAGATAAGGTTCACCAAACCTCAGAACAAGATGATGATTTGTTTAAACCTCCCCCCCGATCACAGAATCAGGATGCTGACTCGGAAGGAACGGCAGACTCTCCCGATAGTCCGATATCCGCCCACACTAGACAAAAAACTGCAACAAGTATTTTACAGGCACCCCTTCGGGAAGCCGTGGGGCCGGAGGGTGGTACGATGTTGGTTAGGGTACCCTTCACCACCGTTGATTTGGAAGCATGGAGGGGAATTGCAAAAAGCTATAGACGCGATCCACATGATGTAGCTAAACACTTCCAATTCATTATAAAACAGCATAACCCGGATTGGAGTGATATACAGCTACTATTAGAATATATGACTGAAACTGAGAAACAATTGATTCTAAAAACAGCAGGAGACTTGGCGGAGGATCATTATAAGATCACTGGGGGGGACGTTAAGGAATATTTTCCCCTCCAAGACCCGAAATGGGAACCAAATAGATCGGCACATATGGAAAGGTTACGGGCGTATCGGGAATGGATTGCAAAGGGGATAGAAAGAGCGATCCCTAAAACTATAAATTGGTCAGTTTTATATGCAGTGAAACAGGGTCCTTCCGAGTCCCCATCCGAATTCTTGGATCGACTGAGAGATGTAATGCGCTGTAATACACCGTTGGATCCGGGATCAGAAGTAGGAATACAACAACTAGTTTCCTTGTTCATGGGCCAATCTACAGGAGACATAAGGCGAAAACTTCAGAAGCTGCGCCCTACGGAAAGTAGGAATCTGGAGGTATTGTTAGAGGAGGCGTGGAAAGTGTTTAGCAATAGGGAAGAAGAATGTCGACAAGGACAGATGAAGTTGATGGCCACTCTGGTTCAGAGACCGGCCAGGCAACGACCGCGGCTGGGGCAGGGATCAGTGTGCTTTGTGTAAGGGTTTCGGGCATTGGAAAAAGGAATGTCCAAAGAATAGGAGGGAGAATGGGAAGGCTTCGATGAATGTAAAAATAGCAAATGTAACAGAGGACTGACGGGGACCTGGGGGATCTACCCTGGCGGATCCACTGGTTAAAATTAAGCTGGGGAGAGAAAAAGAAGAAGTAGAATTTTTGGTAGACACAGGAGCAACGTACTCAGTTTTGAATCAAGCTTTAATACCACTGGGGGACTGACTATGTTATGGTAAAGGGAGCGACCGGCCAATCTGAAAAGGCGTATTTTTGTAAACCTTTAGAGTATAAATTGGGAAAGCAATGGGGAATTCATAAATTCCTTTATATGCCTAACTCCCCAAAAGCTCTCCTGGGGAGGGACTTGCTGGAACAACTGGAAGCAAAAATTGTCTTTGAAAAAGGGGAAGTCACCTTGGAGGTAAAAGATCAGCAGTACATTCAAGTGCTGAGTCTCACTCTAACTAGTTCTTCGTCAGGAGGAGAAATTAGTGAGGAAATTTTAGACCAAGTATATCCGGGAGTTTGGGCTACCGATGTACCTGGAAGGGCGAAAAACGCTCTACCGATTGAGATCAGGATTAAGGAAGGTCAACGACCGGTGAGAATTAAACAGTATCCTTTAAAAAGGGAGGATAGGGAAGGAATCCGACCAGTAATAGAAAAATTTTTGCAATTAGGGTTACTAGAAGAGTGTGAGTCTGAGTTCAATACCCCTATACTGCCCGTTCGGAAACCTGATGGGTCGTATAGGGTGGTTCAGGACTTACGGGCTGTGAATAAAATAGTTGAAGATCTCCACCCAGTGGTAGCAAACCCATATACCCTGTTAACTGTATTAACACCAGAGTTGATTTGGTTTACTGTCTTAGATTTGAAGGACGCCTTCTTTTGCCTTCCTCTCCATAAAGCCAGCCAAAAGTTGTTTGCATTTGAATGGGAAAATCCTAAAACTGGTCGAAAGACCCAACTCACCTGGATGGTGTTGCCACAAGGGTTCAAGAATAGCCCTACTCTTTTTGGCAACCAGCTTGCAAAGGACTTGGAATCCTGGGAAGCCCCATCCTGAGAAAGGAAAATTATTGCAGTACGTGGACGACATTTTGATCGCTACTGAGACAGAAGAGGACTGTGCAACGTGGACGGTGAGCTTGTTAAATTTTTGGGGACTACGGGGGTATCGAGTCTCTAAGAAGAAAGCCCAGGTGATACAACGTAAAGTAAACTACCTGGGCTATGAGATCACTGCAGGGCAAAGAACTTTGGGACAGTCCCGTAAGGAGGCCATATGTCAAACCCCGAAACCTCAGACAGTAAAAGAATTAAGAACCTTCTTGGGAATGACGGGGTGGTGCAGGCTATGGATCTATAATTATGGACTGCTTGTTAAGCCCCTGTATGCGCTAACAAACACCGAACAGACGCACCTCGAATGGGATGAGGAGGCTGAGCGAAGCCTTCGATTCACTGAAGAAGGCTTTGATGTCGGCCCCGGCTCTAGGACTCCCAGATGTGAGTAAACCGTTTCTTCTCTTTTCTCATGAGAAGCAGGGCATTGCCCTGGGAATACTGGCACAAGACCTAGGTCCATATCGACGAGCTGTCGCCTACCTCTCTAAACAACTAGATGCGACTGCAAAAGGGTGGCCTGGGTGTCTGCGAGCGGTGGCTGCCCTGATACTGAACATACAGGAAGCTCGGAAGTTCACTCTGGGCCAGAAAATGACTGTCCTATGTGTCCCATACAGTATCGGCAGTCCTGGAAGCAAAGGGAGGGCATTGGCTCTCCCCACAAAGATTTCTGAGATACCAAGCTGCACTAGTAGAACAAGATGATGTACAGATAATAGTCACTAATATTGTCAACCCAGCTTCTTTCCTCAGTGGTAACATGGGAGAACCAGTGCACCATGACTGCTTGGAAACAATTGAGGCGACATACTCAAGTCGCCCTGACCTAAAAGAAAGCCCCATGAAGGATGAAGAGAGCTGGTTCACGGATGGAAGCAGTTACGTCCTGAACGGTAATCGACACGCGGGGTATGCCGTTACCACCAGTCAAAAGGTAATAGAATCAGGACCTCTGCCTGCAAATACGTCTGCACAAAAGGCAGAAATAATTGCTTTAACCCGAGCCCTGGAACTAGCTAAGGGTAAGATCATAAACATATACACGGACTCCAAGTATGCTTTTGGAGTTGTGCATGCACATGGAGCAATCTGGAAAGAAAGGGGACTATTGAATTCCCAAGGGAAAAACATTAAACATGCGGAAGAAATTTTGAAGCTATTGGAAGCTGTTCAACTTCCTGAGAAGGTGGCAATTATGCATATTAAAGCACACCAAAAGGTGAGCTCTGAATTGGAAAAAGGAAACGAGCTGGCGGATAGGGAGGCAAAACGGGCGGCCAAAATAGAGATAAAGACTGAAGGAGCACTTATTCCCGATAGGCAAATTTCCCTGGAAAGTAAACCAGAATATACCAGGGAGGATCAGAAACTTATTGCAGATCTGGAAGGGACATATAACAAGGAAGGGTGGGCTTATACCCCACAGGGGAAGTTAATTATCCCCTCTCGTTTACTATGGCATTTCACACGAGAGGAGCATAGAAAGAGACACTGGGGAGCAGAAGCTTTGTACAGTCATTTGATAAAAGAGATTGTAGCCAGAAATTTGTATACCACGGTAAGGCAGGTGACTCGACAATGCGACATCTGCCTCCGAACTAATCCCAAAACGCCCCCAAACTAGAAATGGGTCAGATTGGAAAGGGCAACGGGCCGGGGCAACAATGGCAAGTAGATTTTACAGAATTACCAAGAAAAGGGGGGTATCGATATTTGTTGGTACTGACTGATACCTTTTCAGGCTGGCCAGAAGCATTCCCTACTAGAACAGCTAAGGTTCGGGAAGTAACTAAAGTATTGATACAAGAAATAATACCACGATTTGGGGTTCCGGCAATCATATCCTCAGATAGAGGACCACACTTTGTCTCAAAAATAGTGCAACAAATTAGCCACCATTTGGGTATAGATTGGCAGCTTCATACCCCGTATCGCCCTCAGTCGAGCGGTCAAGTGGAGAAGATGAACCACTTAATCAAACAACAAATTGTAAAATTGGGGCAAGAAGCAAACCTGACATGGCCTCAGTCCCTTCCCTTAGCCCTTTTACGCATACGGACAAGGCCAAGGGCAAGGGAAGGGCTAAGCCCCTTTGAAATTTTATATGGACAACCTTACGGGGTACAGAGAGGAATATCTACACAAATTGGAGATGAAATTATGAACTCCTACATGGTGGCGTTAGGGAAACAGCTCAATAAAATCAGAAAACATGTAACTGGTACTCGAGGGAGAGGTCTGGATGGACCTATTCATGGTATACAACCTGGAGATTACGTGTATGTAAAATCTCTTACAGAAAAGAATCTGGAGCCACAGTGGGAAGGACCATACCAAGTACTTCTCACTTCTTTTACGGCAGTTAAGATCAAAGAGCACAACTCCTGGATTCACCATACTCGGATCAAGAAGGCCCCTACAACTACCTGGAAGGCAATAGCAGGTGATAATGAACTAAAACTGAAGCTTACACGAGTAAAATGAGCACATTGGGGTTAAGAATATTTAATAACCCAGCTTTTAGAAAGTCAATTGAGAAAATTATTTTTGTAATCATAATTGTAAATCAAAGATTGGAAAGGGCTGAAAGTGCTGAATGGCCTTGGTCTGAAGCCTTGACAACTGAAGATAGAAGCATAACTGGTAAATTGGCAGTTATAGTCCTGTGGCGAACAGATGCTGGCTATCAGGGGCCCTGGCGAAAAGATGCTGGCTATCCATATATGTTACCAAAATGGGAGAAATTGAAAGAAGAGTGGATACTCGAAAGAATCATAGGAGATGAAATCAAAATAGGGTGTCAAATGATTAATGGAACGACCCACGAAAAGGTAACTGGAATTCTGATAGAATCAACCTCCAAGGGGGGCCAACGAGAGGGATGTGTCCGCCCAGGTAAATTAGATTGTTGGTATGATTTTATGTTAACACAGACTGTTGTGGTCAGTTGTTTCTGGGTTAATAATGCTAATAATGGCCAAGAGCTTAAAATAGAGGGAGGCCTTGTGATAAATTTTAAGATACACGCTGTACCTCCTACGACTAGGGGGCCCCTTACAACACAAACAACTCAACCCCTTACAACACAAACAACTCAACCCCAAACAAAACCAAAACCCAAGATTTATGAAATTGGCCCATATATGATTAGGAATGTGGGCCAACAACAACTATTGTTTAACCCAGAATGGTCTCTTAAGCGTGTTGAATTGACGATACAGACTAATATCTCAGAAATTCAACCAGCCTGTCTTATTTTTTTAACAACATCTTTCAAGGGCTGGACGATGTGGTCACAAAAACAAACGCACCTTAGGAGCAGGATGAAAAGAGATTTAACTGGGGTATTAGGAACGGGATTGGGAGTTTTGAATGGAATCGATTCAGAAGTATTAATGAACAAATTGGCCACTGCAACAAGTGATTTGACAAGGCTAAGGCAGCCTCTACAGTCATCTTTATTGGCATTGGGAACTAGTCAATGGCAAGTCTCAAAAGTATTGCCAAGTTGGGAAAGGGTTGAGGACCAAGACCACAGACTAATACTAGATGCACTTAGTATGGTTCAGGATAATGTGTCTTTAGCTTTTAGTTGTATACAAGCACAATTATGGATGCAGGCAACCGCTGCCTTGATTATAAGGGAAGGGAATGAAGGAATTTTTCCAGTTGAAATCCGAAAGGCGGTTTGGGACAAAGCCACCAATTTTGAAAGGAAATTCCAATCGTGGTGGACTATGGTGAATTTTACTTATGACCCCACTACTAACACAGCTACTGCCTTTGTGCTCACTATACGTAATGCCACAGTTTATGTAATCCACCCCATCATTGCATTAGGATTGAATCATAAGGACACAGTGCTCTATCCTTCAGAACACAGAGCATGGGCCCGGAAGGTGAATGAGAAATGGCAGACTGTAAATGTGGAATCTTGTATTACCCGAGAACAACAGGGGTTCATTTGTGAAAGTAATACAATTGATGCCCAAGACGTATGCCTTGATACTGAGCAAAGTATCTGCCACTTCGAAATTCACCTAGATAACAGTAAAAAAACGGTGATTGTATATACTGGTCAAGGCTGTATATGTTTAGGAACTGCTTGTGTATTGGTAGAGATAGATCATGACAATGTAACTTTGCCCATTCAGGAATCATTCTAATTTCTGTATTTGTAACTTTGTTAAAATCATTGGGTGTGACTTTGTATATTGGGCACCAGTGGTTTCCCACCAGTTGATAAAATCTAAAATCACAGGGTATCTCGAGTTATCACCTACACCTATTGGAATGAACCTTACATTAGTAAGGCAATTGATTAAACATCAAGATCTGTTAGGGATCTTGAGAGAAATTCAGAGAAACGGAGAGAAAACTTTAGTTACTGTACACCATGATACAAAAGAAATAAACAGGGTTTTGCAAAGAGCAAAACAAGATGCAAGTCACAACTGGTGGGATACTCTTTTCGGCTGGTCGCCTTCTGCAACAGGGATTCTTAACACTATGATACACCCCATTGTGATCCTACTAGGTAGTTTAGGAATTTTATTAGTACTAACCATCATGTTATATTTATGGGTCTGGAGAATGTTTAAAAGGATAACTGCGATGCATGAGGCTTTATATTATTCGGGAAAATTGCTGAAGTAAAAGAATTTACTTAGTATGATAAGAAAAGGGGGGATTGATACAGGGCCTAGATAGGAACAGGGGATGTAAGGGTTAACATGGGAATAGCAAGAAGGGGATGACAAGGGAAAATAGTTGAGATAACAGTTCAAGGGAAATACTTTAGATAACGGTTAACAGTTCTGCTTAATGAGTAGATAGTTTGTAAAACATGATGAGCTGAGGTATGGGGTCTTTAGGCTTTATCAGTACAAAGCCGGTTGGAACTAGACCTACGGTTTGGACAACAGCCAGTAAGAGACTGAGTCTGCGCGAAACCTGGGGTCACAGAGCGGACAGGAGGAAGAGGAGCTTGACTTCATCCCCAAAGACCCCCACGACCACCACCAGAAGACACTGCGCAGACTCAACTGGGAGGAGATTATGGAAATGCTAATTATAATACGAAGCGGGGATAGGTAATGCATATGTATAGGCGTATTGCAAAATATTATGAATATGTAATCATTCGCTCTATAAATCTAAGGTAACGGTACCCCACGTTGGGTACACAATAGGAGGAGTTATCCCCTGTGTACCTCAGCGCTGAATAAACATACCTACTTTACAATCTATCAGATTGTGGAGTCTGTTTCCGCACGTCAAGGTGACTAATGATGCTCAGACTCAAATCCACAACGTGAATGACTGGTGGGGAGGAGTAGACGGACAAGTACAGGTAAGAGATGAAATTTTAGTAAGAAAGAACGGGAATGGGATTCTATAGGATCTATGAGTATACTCCTACAGTTTCAATATATGGCAAAGGCCTCGTGGTGTTTCGCACGGGAGGGATTAGAATTCACAGTAGATCCGACTGCAGTGGATAGAAGCACCACGACCAGAGAAAAAGAGGAAGTAGTCCCTTGGTGGCAGTGTGAGCAGATAGACAATTGCAGTACAGTAAGCCAGGCGATCCGGCGTATACCTCCTTCGGCAGCAGCTTGAAAATTCGGTTGTTTATGTCGGGGATTGAAAAATGTCTTAAATGGGAGCAGAGTTTGGAAAGCGAGCTGCCGAAGGTACCTGATCCCAAGTCCCGGACATTTAGTCTGGGCAGTGAGTGACGGTGCCTGGGCATCTCATCTACCAAGAGATGGAAAAGTTAAACAAATTACTTTAGGACTGCCTACATTCTGCCCAATTTGGAAGCAATCTCCCTTTAGAGGAAGTCAGGAAAATTTGCGTTTGGCACGAGCGAAAAGATCGGAGCTGGATGATGATGATGCTTGGAACGATCCAGGGATGGGAGTCAAAATCGGTTGGGCGCTGGAATCCCTCCTCAATCCCATAGCCTCCTACAGAAATAGAGCACGGCTGTACCGATTGACTGGACAGATGGAACGACTGGCAAATGTGACACGTAGGGGATTTAGACAGATGAATATACAGCTGCAGGCTACATCAAGGATGGCCATACAGAACAGAATGGCACTAGATAGGTTATTGTTAAAAGAGCGTGGCGTCTGTGGAGTTCTGGAAGGCAAAGTAGATCGTTGCTGCATACACATTCCGAACGTCACTGAAGATGTGGAGCATGATTTAGATTTGTTGGGAAAGATAGAAAAGGAAACACACAAAATCGGAGAAGGTAAGTCGGAAAATCGGATAGGCGAAATTATTAGCGGAATGGGATGGAATCTGTTTTCGGGGATAAAGTCACTAATTGAAACTTTACTCATTTTGACCTTGGTGTTCCTAGTGCTTGGTTTAACTTATCATTGTTTGAGATGAGAACTGCCCCGGAAAACAGAGTTTAATCGAACGATCGTACAGGCAGAAGCAAGACAACGAGCCCCACCATCATAGGACAATTTGGCATGCCGTGAGACTACAGTCTGAATATGTGAAAGTACTGAGTATGCTTATCGGTACTTTCAAAGGGGGGAAGTGTTGTAAATACCTTAATAATATAGTCTGAATCCTAGAATAGTATTTTCGATTTTAGTTGAAAATATGACCTTGATTTAAAATGGAGTTATATCAGCTATGACAGTACAAGGTATGTTGAGGCCCTTGGGAACAGATAACTAGTATGGTGTTTCCCTTAATCACTATAGGAATCGTTCCGGACTCTGAATCAAACCCGTGGGTACTGCTTATGGGCCTTGAGTTAAAATGACTGTGTGGCCACGACTCTGTAACCGTGACTCTGCTGAAAAAGTGTATAAATATGCGGTGCTTCGTATCTGTCGTTGAACACGTCTTTGGCGGAGCTCTCCCCCACGTTCCCCAGCGCTGGAATAAAGAAGTGCCTGCTTATCTGCTGGGTGTAGATCAGTTCTTTCGCGATTGCGACCGCTAGCACGTGCGGCAGTGGCGGCTCTCTGTGCACCCAGCGCTGCTTTGCCTATTGCTTCTCACCCTGAATTGATTGAACCCAAATAAAAGTGCATGCTTTTTATAAAGATTGGCTTCCTTCATTTATAACACGGTCAAGGTGCAGGGGTTCTGTCTGGGAAGCAGGGGTCCCTGTCGTGATTGAGGGTGCAGGAGTCCAGGCAGGTTGCAGTAGGCCCGGTTGGGATGCAGGGGTTCTGTTTGGGGTTCGTGCTGCAAAGACCGGCTCCGGGCGGTCTGGGCGAGGAGTCTGGTTTGGGTGTAGGGGGTCCGGCTGAGACGTAGGGGCCCCAGCCCAGAGAGCGTGCAGGAGGTCCGGCGAGGTTATAGCTGGTCTTGTTTGGATTCTGAGGGTCCAGGCAGTGCGCAGGGTGGATAAGGAGTGTGAAGGGGGGGGGTCTTGTGAATGTGCGGGGGGTCTTCTTGTTGTCACGGGGGTCCGGGGAAAGTGCAGGTCAGCTGGCTGGGGTGCAGGAGGTGCGCTTGTTTTGCAGGGGGTCCAGACAGGGTGTGTGGGGACCAGGCGAGTTGCCGGTGATCCAGTTGGGGTGCAGGGGATCTTGCTGCCGTTGTCCAGAGGGCCGAGACAGGGTTCGGTGGGTCCAGGCATCGTGCAGGGGGCCGGACGAGCTGTAGGGGATCTGGTTGGGGTTCAGGTGGCACCGACAGGGTGCAGGGCGTCCGGTTGCTGTCAGGGAGTACGGCTGGGCTTGCGGGGCGCTCAGAGTTAGCGCACCGGGGCCAAGCAGACTCCAGGGGTCTCGGTGTGTAGAGTTTGGAAGAGCACCGACCTGTGATTTGGGTGTCTAAAAGAAGCACCCGCACCTGCCGTGAGCTGTGCTGGATTGGAGGAAAATCCCCTGAGCCCCCAGGCCCAAATAAAAGACTATATCGCTCCTGAGCCTGTTCAGCCGGGCTTATGGCACGCCGGGTACCGCCGGTCCCCCGCTCCCTACGGGCTCCGGCTGTGGGCTGGGGCCGGGGCAGCTCAGGTGGGACCGGTGAGGTTTTAATTTAAATAGGCTGCAGCTGGGGAGCTGGGGCTGGACTGGGGCAGCCCCAGGTGCAGCCGGTCAGGCTGTGGGTGGGGCCGGCCCCGCCGTGCCGAGGGGCTCCAGCTGGGAGTCGGGGGCGGGGGGGGCTGCCCGCCCGCGGGAGCTGGCCGAGGAGCGGAAGAAAGAGAGTCTCAGCCGCGTCTGCCCGCGGCCAGGAGCGGCCGGTCCGTGCGGCGAGGAAGGATTCCTCCCGGCCGGCCCCGACGGAGCGCAGCACCGGCGCCGGGAGCTCGGCGCCCCCGAGCCGCCGGGTGGCCGTGAAGCCTCGCGGGGGAGGAGCTCGGAGGCGCGTGCCGCCCGCCCCCGCGTGGGTGAGGGTCGGGCAGCCGGCGCTGCGGAGGTAGGAAGGGGCGGAGGCGGAGAGACGAGCCCCGGGGCTGCGAAAGCCTCGGGCCGGGGCCGGTACCGGGAGCTGCGGCGGGTCGCGCGTCCCCCCGGGCCGGTCCCGGCCGCGCTTCTCCAGCTGCCCGCCTGCTCCCTGCCTCCGGCTGCCTTTCGGGCTGGCCGGGTCCCCGCAGCTTTTTGCTGTTCTGCCGACACGGCCCCGTCCCCCGTCGCCTTCTCCACGTCCTTTCCACGCCTCTCCCTTGCTGGCTCCCCAGCCGCCTGAAGCATTTCATTCTTTCCACGCTGCCGCCTTCCCTGTCGCTTGTGAAAATCGCATTGGAAGGTCTCCCTCTACCCGGTGGCTCGGACCTGTTCTCAGCATCTCCCTGTCTCTCTCCCTCCCTCACTGAAATCGCGTTTAGCGTTAACGAGTGGGCATTGCTTTATTTGGCCGGGGACGCAAGGGAATCGTTCTGCCTAACATGCTTGCTGTACGTTACGATAGCCAAAGCTTATATTGCTCCGTTACGTGTCTATTTATCCAATTTCCAAAAAGTCATTACTGTAATCACGTAATTATTATGTGTGCAGTTTAGGTCTCTGAGGGACTTCCGCGGGGGTTGTCGGTGGTCTCCAGCCACCTCTGGTGGTCTTTGGAGAGCATCCTTTCTTATACTTGTCTACGGTTTGGAATTGGTCTTTCTTTGGTTTATGTTTGCACTTTCTTATCTCCTGCCTAGCTTCAGCTAGTTTGTTCTTTTTCAGAGGGC